GCGTCTAAAAATTTATTTTAAATAATTACTAGCTTTAAACGGCAATAACTTGTTTAATTTAAATGGAACACCCTGTATATTTTATAATCAGATGCACAATTTAATTGTCTATCAAATTGTATTATACCACTTCTTACCTATTCCTTCAAGTTTTCGTAGAAAATGCATTTTCTTATAATTTAGACCTCATTTATCAATATACCCATGGAATATTGACATTTTAGATTGTTTTTAAAACAACAAATGTACAAAATGTACAGGCTAGTAATACTATCGTTTTTAGTAAAACGATAATATTACTAGCCCATTTGTATGCAAAAAGAAAACTATTTAAATCTTAATTAAATATACCACCAGTATTTCCGCCCAAATACTAATTAACTACATACTTAATTGTGTTCGTTAATAAATTATTCTAAATAAATGTGGATTTGAATCAGAAATCAATATATTAATAAGTTATGAAATGAACATCTCTGTTGTAATAAATAAGCATTTGTCAAAAAATTAAATATCATTTTTAAGGTGTTACTTTTTACCACACTGTCTAATACACATACATAATTCAGTTTTTTAGTATTTGGAGCAATTATTATTAATCAACGCAAACAGTCAATTAATGTAGTTTGAATACTGGAATCATATTAACTGGTCCTCTTTAACAAATATTTTAACAGTTTTTTTTTAATTTTTTAATGAAATAAACAAACTATATCAACAATATTAGTATTTGTACTCTTTAAAAATTTGCTACATCTTAAAAATAATCTAAAATGTCAGTATTCCATGGGTACATTGATAAATGAGTTCTAAGTTACAAGAAAATGCATTTTCTACGGAAACTTGAAGATAGGTAAAAAATGGTATAATACAATTTGATAGACAATTAAATTGTGCATCTGATTCTCATAAAATATACAGGGTGTTCCATTTAAATTAAACAAGTTATTGCCATTTAAAGCTAGTAATTATTTAAAATAAATTTTTAGACACTCTGTATAAGGTAGTAAAGTTTTTATTATTGCAACACAATAACTGATCAATAAATAAACATTAGTAAATATTTAGTATTAAAAACTTTGATACCCTCGGAGAAATGAAGCCTTAAAATTTATACTGCAATTTCACAAAATTGAAAATATTTTCAAAAACGGTAAGGTTTAAGTGTAATAAACCTTAATCAAATTTACCTTTATTTTAATCGTAGAAACTAAAAATGTAATAATATATAGGGTGTTCCATTTAAAAAAATACAACTTTGATATTTTTTATTTATTTGGGACACTCTGTATCTTGTAAAAATATTTTTAAATTGTAGCTCTAATAGTCCTTCAACGAACCCAAAACTTACAATTTGTAAAAATCTAGTCGTTTAGTTACAATACTCCGTGTCGTATGTGGTGAACAACCCTGTATAAATGATTTAACCCCTTTTTATTTGCTTATAATTTATTGTAGAAGGGTTTTGTGTATGAGCGCTTTTTAAAGCTAACGAGATAATATGTATAAAAATAAAACTATAAGTTACAACGTTAATGTAAAATACGTAGAATTGCTCTCATAATAAACGAAAATTAAAGACTCAAGAATTTAAAAAAATAAGAATTAGGATAAAAATTGCTAGCTGAGAAACTTATGAGAAAAATTTTAAAAATAATAATTACCTATGTTGTTTATTTTTTGAAAACAGTTTCTTAATGTAATTACTCGTTAATAGTAGTATTGCATTATAAAAGGGATCACTGTATTATGTATTTTTGTTTAGCTTCAGTTGAAAAACTTCTATGCTACGCCCTTGGTATATTCGGAGTATTTTAATCATTTAACGGATAATAGGAATAATGAATGAATGAACCATAGGCGTGGAGCAAAAGTTGAGAAAAAATATTATAGGACAGCCACTAATCTAATCTTACCTTTTCTACATCGCCGATTTTCACCGCAGCACAATCCTTTAATATCCGACAAATAAAAGACCTCATACATTTTCGCATAAAAATATAGGTGGTTCATTATTCAAAATAGAACGATCAAATTCTAATGCCGCAACCGCACATGCGGCATTTAGCGAACTCCGAGCGCTCATCAACTACCGAGCGCTCGTGATCGGACTTCACCTTTCCATCCACACACGCGGGCATCGCCGAGCTCTGATAGCAACAACATAAAGACGAGCGCTCGTTCTCGTCGCCGATCGAATCGCCGAACTCCGACTTCCCCATCCGCATACATAGGAAATCGGCGAAGCCCTGTTCGGAGATCGCCAAATACAGCATGTGCGGTTGCGGCATAATACTAACAATGACGTATGTAACTTAAATTATATTAAAAACATTACTAGAATTACAAATAAAAATTAGGACTTTGCTTTCAGTACCAAATAAGTTAATAAATATTATCTCCAGTTTACAGGGTGAGCTTTGGAACATTACCACTACATCACATTTCACATTGTAGGTATATCAATCTACATTATCATAGTTTAGGAAAAAAATAAAAATTGTATTAAAACTCGTTACAAAAAAAAATAACTGCATCGTAATTGATATTATTCGATATAAATTTAAATTATTTAATACCAACAGTAAGTTTTGAAGAAATGGGTACCAGAATTATAGTTTGAAATGTTTATAAAATTTTTAAGACTTCTTTAACTAACTAAACTTTAATAAAGCTCCCAATATTTAATATTACTAAAATAAAAAAAGATGACAACTTAATAGAATTGGACATGATGCCCATGTAATATAAATTGAATTTTAAACTCATATGTCATATCAAGCATTTTTTTAAGCAAAATACGATATAAAGTTGATTAATACTTACATAAATATGATGTGATTGATAACTATATCATGATTTTTGTCTATCCTAAGTGATTTAAGAGCTACATTATCAAACGTAATAATTAAAATGGCAACAATGAAAACGCACCCTCTAAACAGATAAAATGTTTTAGTTAACTCTGTATTTAGAAATATTTGGATGTTATAAACCTGCCACAGTTCAAAAAATAAACCAAAAGTCCTCAACCGAACCTAGAACCTACTGTTGTGTTTGCAGTTTGCTCTAAAAGACAGATAATTAAAATAATTGCAATGTATGAGATCTTTCGAAGAAACTAAAATACTGGCATGTTAATATCAAATATATCCTAATATAAACATGACATAGAAACAATAGACAGTTTTACCTACACAGTAAGTAAAACATAAATAAAAACAATATATGGAATAGTAGCGATCCCTGAACCCATATTTCCCTATTTGCTTATGGAATCCGTATTTAAGAAATATATTAAAACGTGCTAATAGACTCAGTTTTATAACATTGTATACTTAGAACTTATTTTTTTATAAGAAACAGGAATAAATAAAACTGTATGAAAATTGAGAAACAAATGTGAACAACTTAAATATTGAGAAATGCATTATTAAGTATAATATATAAAACAGAGTTATTATATTATTTCATTGTTTTTTTTTTAATTAAATTGTTAGTAGATTAATAAGATAATCGCGTATGCGAGGTAAAATAAATATTTTAAGTTACCGACAGCACGACAGCACTAGTGAAACAGATTTCAGATCGCCTCCTATTTAACATAAATATATAAGATATCATGCCGATGCATTTATCAGTTTCATTTATATAATATGCTTCAAAATACTATTTCTCTTTATATTAATAATCATTATATAACTAATTGAGATTAAATGTAAAATATTGGTCTAAAAATACCATCTGTTGAACAAAGGTGGCTAAAAATTACAATAACTTAGAAATAGATAGCATTATTTGTAGTATATTATATAAAATAAATATAAAGCATCATCATCAGTAATTTTAATTAAAATATGTAGTCTATGCTACCAAAGTAATTCTTCATACGCTAAAAATTACTTCCCTTAAGTTAATTTCTCAGAGAAAGTGTGAAGCTATGGCTAATAGAATCTTACTTATTATGATTATAACGACATACTAACCTAAATCTAAATTAGTTTGTGTTATAACTGATAAAATAAACTAAATAAATATATAAAAAGATTTTTAAAAATAACTATAAACTCATTTACGAATGCATAAAATGTAGATAATTTTTGTTTAAATTAAACAAGAACAATGAGTAACATTTTTAAGAGTAGAATATAAAAATCTTAAAAAATGCCCGCAAATCTGTGCTGCAAATAAAGCGAGAATAAAATATAAAAAATTAAGTTAACGGGCATACAGAATTACACCATTGATGTATGTTTGGTTGCGTACCCTTTAGAGAATCAAATCTATCGAACTAATAGACTACACTTTATTAACATATAATTAACTAATGTAACTTAAATTATTAAACATACTTTTCTAAAAAACACCTAATAAATTTTAAATAGTATTTTTTAATAATATTATTTAAAATTTACTATTACGTATATATACTTAAAAGCAATAGTTGATTATAATATATTAATATAATATAGTCTTTTAATGAAAGTTTACAACGAATCTGGTTGTTATAAACTTTTATAAACTAAATTTTATTTTTTTAAAGTAGCTCTATGAATACAAATACCACAAAACATAATTTATTAAACAGAACATTACTTTGACACCGACAAAATAAACTGAGTAAATGTATTAGATAATAATTTAGTTGCTTTAATAAAAAAATAAAAATAATGTTTTTAATGAAAAATAATTTTTCATTACAAAATAAAATTAACCATTTTTGAAACGTAACTAATTATTAATTCCAGGGAGGACAAATAAATTCACTAAAAAATCTGCTATATACAGTTAACCAATTTACGATACAATTTTAAAAAATTAATAATGATAAAATGTTATGCAACAGTATAGTTGATATGCATATTATATGTTACTTTCTATTTAGGAAACATTTATATAAATTAATATTAGAAAAATGTTACACTCAGATTTACCATATAAACAGTTGAAAGCAATGGACTGTAGACTGCAAGAACATTAAAAACAAAGCTTTAATGTCCTTAAAAAATAATGTATTCATATTGCCACAATCTAGTGATGCTTTTGCGCAAGTGAAATATACCAAAGAACTGTGATAATCTGGAAAATCAACAAAAATATGAAAAGCGTCATAAGTAATATACTACAAAAGTTAGTAAATAAAATACAGATATAAAAATAATTATAACAGCGTAGTCATAGCATATTAGAATTGTTACTTGTGTCAAAATATGTAAGTCAAATCTAACTAAAAATATGATTGGCAAATAATTATTAACAACAGTAATTAAACTGATCATTTGTTTATATTACCAAAATTTTAAATGAAATTCAAAGCATAATTTTAGAAATGGAGAAATTATCAGCTATATGACTTTTTCTGGAGTACAATGACATTTTTAAAGTCTGAAGTTTGTCCAGATTATCAAGTTTTATAACAGTACCAGAATAAAAATAAACTCCTATACATATAGACTCCTTTTGGTATTGAAGCAACAGCCAAAAGCAGCAAAATAAATACCTACAAGTAAAAAAACTATAAGTAACAAGTATTTCTATAAGATAATCAAAAGAGCTGTTTATATAAATATTTAAGAAGATATTTAAATTTTAAATTTATTTATTTTTTTATTTTTTAACTATTAATAACTTAAAATAAACGTAATCATATCATCAATCAATCAATCATTGAACTATTCAAATAAAATAAAACAAATCTACATATATAAAATGCTAATGTTTATCTGTGTCGTCTCTACTGAAGTAACGACTTGCTCTAGAAAGTTGTTTTTTTTAAAAGATAGCTAATTGGTCTAAAGTTCAGTACTAATCTTCTAAAAACTGTCGTCGCCAGATTTTTTGTTTTTCATTTAATTTAAAAAAAATAAATTTTTTTTCCCTGATGTCGTGGTACAAATAAATATAAAAAAATAAGGTTAATCTGCATACAGAATTACAAAATTGAGGTATGTTTAGTTGCATACCCTTTAGAGAAACAATTCCATCGACATTATAATTAATAGACTCTATATTTTATTAACATAATAATTAACTAATGTAACTTAAATTATTAAATATACCTTTCTAAAAAACACGTAATAATAAATTTTAAATATTGTTTTTTAATAATACCATTTAAAATAGAAAAAAAGATTAGATTAGAAATATATAGAAAAGTATACTTACATTAGTTAATTTTATGTTAATATAATGTGGTCTTTTACTGAAAGTTTACAATGAACCTGCTTATGATAAACAATTAAAAACCTCTACATAGATAATTTAGTTACTTAATTTAGTTGCTTTAATAAAAAAATAAGAATAATGTTTTTAATGGAAAAAAATTGTTCATTACAAAATAAAATTAGCCTTTATTAAGTATTTGTAAACTGCAGGTAAATTGTTGCCAATTACTGGCACGAAAGTGTTTACATCGTACCACTACCATACCAGTGTTGGTGTATCAGTAAAACTAGCGTCAGCTACTGGCTACGTGTAAACAAGCCTTAAGTATAAAATTAGAAATGTTCTTACCTTTAACAAGAATGCTGGTAGTTTTATCAATTATGAGATTTGTGAAGTCAAGACAATCTACAGCTGCTGTTCCATCAACATGTAGTATTCCCTAAAGTAAAATAAATAAATATTAGCTTTATTATACTCTAAAACGTGTTTCAAGCTATTAATAATAACTTAAACATAATCATATACATTCAAATCAGGCAGCTATTAGCGTTAAGAAAAATAAATTGTTAACAGTATATGGAATTATACATAATAAATAAAAAACAATCTATTAAAGTTTACAGCTTTACCAAATAACTTTTTTAAATCAAAATAATAACAGTTACTGTAATCAGTAGGTATTAAGCAAGTAGATATCTATTAAACTTACATTTATAGAAGGAATATTCAGCTGCAGAAAAGTGCTTTCTCATAATGAGCACTGCATTGACCATTGTAAAATGTCTGCAACTCTCTGGACATCGGACGATTCTGTAGAGTTGGTACTTAACACGTCAACAAGTACTCGACGGTGCCTGGGAAAATCCAAAGAAGCTCTAGGACTAATCACAGGCGTCTTGCAATATTTTATCTGGAATCTTCTTCGATTTAAATGAGCGACGAACTTGAATTATCCTAGGAAAATAGAAAAAAATAATCAGTTAAAAATGTTAAAAGAGAATAAAATAAACTTACTTTAGTTGGTTCTAGGTTGAGTTGGGGTATCCTACCCCGAATTTCTATCCATAAAGAGTATCCGTATCTCGTCCCCTACGCCCTCGAGGTCCAACGCAATACGTGCACGAAGTCTCGCAGCTTGGGTACCAGGTCGTATCCGGCCGAAGCCTCTAGCATTAGAACACCTAGCTTGTAAACCAGAGGGTGGTGATTCCTTGGATACGGCCCTATGCATGGTACATAGGTCATCTAAGGCAGAACATCAAGTTGGGGGGATGATCCAGGTTTGCTCTACGGAAGAAGGCAGCATCGTGCTCTGGAGCGTCACTCTTTGATCCAATTCGTCGGGACACCATCTGCAAAATTTACTTAAGTAAATTTCATTACCTGCCATCGAGTTAATCAATAACATCCCTGCCGGTTCGTATTGCCGCTGTAGTATTCAATCGCGTCTAAAAAGAGAAAAGAAAGTATATTTCGACCCCAGAAACATGTTATATACCTATATTCCTAAATTAATTTTGATACCTAACAGTTCGAAAATAAAAGATGAAAAAAAAAATCGGCATTAAAATTTTCGCACAATGTGCGACATTTAATGCTCTGTAATAAATAATATCTATAGCAGTTATAAATATTAGTCGTTACAGTAAAACGACTTTAAAACAAATTAAAGAATAGCGCAGACGCCATGATAGAGTTACGAGATTGCAAAAAATATTAATCCAAATATAATGAAATATAAAGAAAATATCAAATACTCACTTTTTGCAGAGGCTGAGTGATGCATAAACAAGAATTTACGAACAAACAGTGTACACAAAACTCATTTTTTATAAAAAAAAACACAAAAATTGAAATACCGGTAACGAAGAGATACAGATCTCTGGGCATTCAATATGGAGACGCCAATTTCCGGAAGTCGTCGTATGACATATGAGTTGACCAATGAGAAGAAAGTCTTTCCATATAGCAAAAGCACAGCCGTCTTAGTTAACAATATTTAATTTTAAATTTACATAGTGGGTTAAATTATTAAAAAGTGGGCCAAAATCAAATTGTAAAATAGGTCTAAAAAGTTAGTTCGCAGACTATTAAAAGAATTATTTTATATATTTTCGTCTAGATCTATTAATGAACCAATTAATTTCTTATAAGTTTATAAAACTGAAACTTTTACAGAAAACCAATACGTATAAGAAAAAAAATCAAATATTAGATTAAAATATAAAAATATGTACTCTTTAAATATATATTTTTATATCTACTATTTTAATAAAGTATTACATTATTTCCTTTTTACATATTTAACTTTAGTGGGTATTTTATTATATTTTAATCTAGGTAATTTATCAGGAGTACCCTCACGGAAAAACGTGTAATGCCCCTATGAAACAGCGAATCCTTTGCGTCACAATGCCATTTGTCGTTAAACCATATCGAAGGATTTAAACCATTACTTAAAATTACCATAAAATTAAACGAGAACGGCGGTTTTCCCTAAATATGACAAAGCCAGTTCCACCCAGAAACGAATATTAGTTGAGCGAGAACAATTTAAATCATCAGTCGCGAGCTTTCTGCGCTACCGAACAGTACTTTGAACTTTACAGTAGTTAATCTTCTTTTTGTTTTTATTTTCGCCGGTTAATTTCATCCTATATAAAAATGGTAAGTTAAACTCTATGAATTGGGGTTCCTTTCGTCCATTTAGCAATATGATTACCATTCCTTCGTGATTTCTTATATATGTACAGAATGAATCTTAACGCGCAAAATGATTTTTAAATGTAAATGACTATTATGCACGCCGGCCTAATCAACACAAGATAAACTTTTGCCTTATTAAAAATAATAATAGATCTACCAACAAACATCCTTATTTTTTATTGAGATTAAATATTAAACAGTAAATAAAGAAAATGTAAAACGAATGAGCTGTTATTTTTGAAAGTAGTATAAGTCCAATTTTTTAAAAAATAAATTAGTGGTAATTTCAGTAAGATATAGACATATTCTTCCAAAAATGTTAAAAACTAAAAAAAACTAATTTTTTTTATTTGAAGATCTTAACGAAGTAATTCCCATTTTTATACTTTTCTTTAATATAACTGAAATTAATTTTAATAAAACTTGGTTATTCGTGTATTTAAATATCTTCATTTTAATTATTGTTACTTTTTACAAAAAAAAATCTTTTTCAGTAAAGGTATAGTATCTATAAAAATATGGACTTAAATTCACTCCTGTTTTTCTTTCTTGTAATAACTCGTTTATTTTTTTAAGAATTGTAATTAGTTATTGTTTCATAATAAAGTTTAAAAGGTGTATAGTGTTCATAACATCACTTGAATAATAAAGTTTGCGAATATTTTTAAATTAATTCAAATACAAAACCTTAAATATCTCGATACATAGAAAAATTGACTTATGCCACTTTCAAAAATAACAGGTCAGATATTTATGCGAGGCAATCCATTGTATTAGTCATATTCCAATTATATTAGTTGGTATTATTTTGTTCTAGAACGCAGTAATTATAATAAGTACAGTAATAGTTTCGATTGCGGGTCAGAGGCCATTTTACGCAGGAACTAGCGTTAAGGGCTATCCAGAACTGGCGAGCCGATTCCAAGAAACCAACGACAATCAAAACATTACAATCAACGACAGGCTAGGGGCAGGAGACGAACAAACATCACAGAACGTTCCCACCGAATCGAACAATAAATTTTACGAACGGGTGAGCGAGTGGCCAAGAGAAAACCAGCCGTTCTGGCTAATCAACGCTGGACACATCGAAAAACACTTAAGACCTAACGTTAATGGACAAAGGCCTAATAGTAGCCAAGCCACTAACAGCGGCGATCAAAGGAACGAATTGCAGTCTCGATTTGGAGAGCCTGTCGCTACTGAAACCAGAACGATTAAACCACTGAGTCAAAGGGGATCCTTTGCTGGATCTGGAACTAGAACTTAATTTCATATAGATATATCCAGACTGTCTATACTTATACAGTGTCCGGCAACACTGCGTCGGGCATCTGTAGCTCCTGGAAGAAAAAACTTAAACATTTTCTTTAAGTGCAAATGGGAGGATGTATTTAAGGAAAATATTTTATCTTCTATAGGGTGGCTCAAGAAAGCGTGAGTGGATCGGGATGGTTTTTTTTAAATACAAAATCCTGCATATTATTGCATTTTTGGCTTTCTTTCAGATCACTTTACGTAATCCTAAGAAATGAGTAAATATATATTTCGATAATTTCGGAGATATAAATAAATAAATAAAAAAAATATATTACAAATACAAGAACTGTCCTTGAAATCAAAACTATATTAGGTATTTACTTCAGATGATCTATACTTACTTTGCTATAAATATCGTAATCTTAAATCATACAGAGCGTTCAAAATACTTCGCCAAACTTTCTCAAATACAAAATAATTTTTCTTTGTTTTTTTTTTATTTTTTTATTAGATGGAGTTTAAAAAAAAAGAACTTTTTCTGTTTTTAAAGTGTATCAAAATTTTTAACGGCTTCCCAGATACTCGCGGTATTATATCATATAGCTCTTTCAACGGTAAAATACGGAGAAAAATCATTGTGTGGTTTTCATAAAATTTACTGCGGAAAATGCCATATGAAATATAAAACCGCGAATATCTGCGAAACCATTAAAAAGTTTGAAATACTTTCATTACAAAAAATGTTATTTTTTTAATTCTCTATCTATTGAAATAATATACAGGGTGTTATTATTAAAAAACAACAAAGAAAAATTATTTTATATTTTAGAAAGTTTGGCGTAGAATTTGAACATTCTGTATCATTTACGATTACAATATTTATAGCAAAGTAATTAGAGACCATCTAAAATAAATACCAAATATAGTTTTGATTTCAAGATCGGTTCTTGTATTTTTAATTATTTTTTTAAGAAAGGCTGAAAAATATAAATATATTTTTTCTTTATCTATTCATATCTCTGAAATTGTCGAAATATATTTACTTATATCTTAGGATTATGTAAAGTGATCTGAAAGGAAGCCAAAAATGCAATAATACATCGAGTGTTCCATTTAAAAAATTATCCCGATCCACTCACATCTTTTTGAGCTACCTCACAGCCCTGAGAGTTAGCTTTGAGAGTTAAACTATTTTCCTAATACATCCTAGTACATACTTTAGGTTTGCACTTAAAAAAAAAGTTTTTTATTCTAGGAGTTACAGATGCCCGACGCGAACTATTGTCGCACCCTGTATTGGACTTTAATAATTTGCTGTTTCAAAATTATCGTATTTCTAAGACTCAAGTTTATACTTACTGACCCTGGAAAATACATATATTTTCATAGAAAAAACTATAAAAATATGTTTTCTTAGTCACCAAAGTTTATTACCTTCCATTTCTCATTACGTTTCTATTATACGATCAAGTTTTGAGAAATTTAGATGTATATAAGTAATATGATTTTTTTATTATGTTTAAAATAAATACGAATAATATTTAAACCATTTTTTCTTTCTTCACTCTTTTGATGATCTAAAGAACAAAGGATATAGCCAAAATATTCTACTTCTTATTAAAAGAATATACAAGTTAAATGATAAGAGTATAAAAATATGGGACCTCTCCTATATTATTTATAAATGCGTCTGTTTATCACAGACTTGGAAAATTTGTTTTACATACAAACTCAAACATGAAAGTTTTACAGGGTGTGTAATTATTGTGTTACGAATGAAATAAAATACGTTTTAATGCTACTAAGCTCTACAGTATAAGTATATTGTTGTTCTATTCTTGGTTTTATGATACATTAGGTAATATATATAAAACAAATACTAATATATAAAAATGTAAAAGTGTAAATATTATACTTATCTAGTATGGGGGTCTTATTATCTAAAAACGAAGAGTAATGTATTTGTAAAAGAACAGAGAGAAACAAACATAAGTGGGGCTAATGAATGTGAAGTGTTCAAGTCTATATTACCACAGTTAAAAAATGAATATTGTACATATATAATAATTTATTAAAACACATTGCATATAATTATTTTAAAACTCTACTTTGTATAAATATAAATAATTTTGATTTATACAGTTTTTTAAAACTTATAATTAATTTTGTACAGTCATCCATTTTCAATCTCTCCTTTGTAGGCAGATTAAAACTGGAAATATATAGGACCTTTTAGCTAAAATAAAATATTTTATTTCGTATTATTAACCGTTCATATCCTGGAATATCTCAAAACAAAAGCAGTTCTTAAATAAATTAGTCTCTCCTACTAATAAAGCAACTTTTAATACTGTTTTTGTGTTAATCTAAAACGCCCTACACATCTGAATGCGTCATTTCCTTTGCTAGTGTTTTGTATTAAATTTACGGTCTAGCATGGTCTGGCGCGTGGTAATGTTGCCCTGTCGAATTAAATGAGGGATGAACTGGAGGCGGAAAACAGCGCACGTGTTCGACAGACAATTCGTCGTTTTCACCCGACTTCAAAAACTTATTTAAAATCGCGAATATTTGGGAGTTTAAAACTTGAAAACGCCGAATTCTATCGCACATTCTTTTCAAACTCTAGAAAAAACAAATTACCGTAATTAGGTATAGATACAGATAACATAGCGATACATACTATTCCCTTTACTGTCTCGTCTTTCATGTCGACTCTTTGCACTCGCAGAATATGGTAAGAGAAATCTAGAGCTTCAAATCTCCTTTGTTGCCCTAATAATACGATCATTGTACAACCAGCCCAATGTAAACCTTCCCCAAACATTTCTCTGTAAGACATAAAGTTACAGTTGCCTAATACGAGCCCTAACAACTATATGTTGGGACAAGGTCATATTTTGGAATTATTGCCCTGGTTTTTCAAAATGACTGAAAAATATATGTTTAATTTTTTAAATATAAACGTAGCCATATATCCTAAACAACTTGACAATATTTTTATGAATTTGTAAATCAATCCATATTTACAGTAGCGGATTTTGTTCATAAAAGGACAAATTTGCCTGACAACTAAATGTTGGGACAAGTATTTTAAAATAATTAATACCATCATAGGCGGCTTTGCTATAAACGTCACAAATGTCGCAAACTGTTTACTTCAGCATTGGCAGCTTGTAAGCAGGGTTCGGAAAACTACATGTTACTTTTAAAAACTACATAAACTACATTACATGTAGTTAATGTAATTTATGTAGAGGGTGTAGTTTATGTAACCTATGTATGTAACTTTCAAATGTCAAAGGTTTGAGGTGAGGTTATAATAAGTTGAAGCTTTAAAAACACATAATGTATTTAAGAAAACAGGAGAAATATGGCTTTAAATATAATATTTACACCATATTATCTCTATTACACCTCATACAAAGGAAAATTATTCATAATATCAATACATAGTTTATTAACGTAGTTTTCATGTAGTTAATGAACGAGAAAAGACGTAGTTTTTGAAGAAAAACTACACGTAGTTAATCAGGTAAATTACGTCTTAATTAACTACTTCCGAACCCTGCTTGTAAGTGACTCGATACTTTGAGTAGTGAGACTTACTGTAAGTAATTTTATTTTTTTTAATTTTCAATTTTGTTAATTTAATCCAAAGTAATGGTCCGTGGAAAAGCTACAAATCAAAAACTACGCGAAATTATCATTCGTTAATACAGTACGGGAAAAACAATTCGAAAAATGATTTATGTATTCCAAAAACCACGGTCTTTAATATAATAAAAAAAATACGGCGAATTTGCCAATGTAGGCGTTAGAGGTAAAAGTTCGGGAAGGCCAAAAGTTGTATCTCAGAGAGATTTACGAAATTTAGTAAAAAATTGCAAGTCTGCGAGAAGAAGTACTCTTCACGAAGTAACAGTTAAATGGAATACTGTAACTGGATTAAATATATCAAGAGAATGTTGCCGAAAATATATCCATAAATGCGGTCTGGATTTTACAAGGCAAACTTTCTTTCGTGTGGATAATCAATTACCTGAAGATTATGGATACAAATTCTTATTTAGGCCAAAGAAAAACCGCTACTGACAGAAATTCAAAAGAAAGATCGCTACAATTGGGCAAAATCTAAATTATCGTGGACACAAAATGATTGGAATAAGGTCATATTTAGCTATGAGTCTAAATTTGATGTTTGCGTTGAAGATCATCGAAAAAGAATAATACGAAATAAAGCAGAAGCCTTTCATAAAGATTGCTTAAAGAGGGTTGTTAAATTTCCTAAGGGGATTATGGTTTGGGGTTGCATGTCAGCAAGAGGTTTGGGCAAATTAAATTTTATAGATGGCACTGTTAACGCCCAAAAATATCAACATATACTTGAGACCTCACTTTTGCCTAGTGCTCAAAAATTGTTTCCAAACGAAGACTATATTTTTCAACAAGATGGAGCATCGTGCCATTCAGCAAAATCAACTAAAAATTGGTTCGGTAATAATAATATAAAAGTTCTATCCCATCCTTCAAGTAGTCCGGACTTCAATGTTATAGAAACTGTGTGGTATAAAATGAAGCAATATTTAAGAAACCACCCTCAACGAACAATTTTTGATTTGCGTACAAAACTGCAGGAAATTTGGAATAATTTTTCTCCTCAAATGTGCCAATCTTTGGTAAATACAATGCCATTAAGAGTTCAGGCAGTTGTTAAGGCGAGAGGTGATGTAACTCCGTATTAAACAAATTTCTTGTTGTGCTGTCCCAATATATTTTGCCAGCAAATTTGGCTTGATTTTCGCAAAATAACCTATTATCAAAAGTGATTTGTTTGCAAAATATAGTAAAATTGTCTAGATCATATTGTAATGTTTGAATTTAGAATAAACAAAATAAATTGAGTCGTTTTAACAAATTACTATTTTTATTGCAAAAAAAGACCTTGTCCCAACATATAGTTGTTAGGGCTCGTATTAATCACCCTTTCTAAGACATATGTACGTACTCGACCGTATATTCGTTGTCGCTGACAGGAATACAATAGACAAATTGTAATGCCGACCACAGCCTATGGAATTCAGTGCATTCATCAACATTCATGACTCCATTAGCTGGAGGTGGTCCAACCCACAAAGGATCATCCAAAAAACTTCTTAACCTGTTCAAAACAACTTCGAAAATTGATAAGCCACAGCAAAGACGTTCTCTGGTTAACAAGTCTCCTTCTCTCGATATCATCGCTTGCTAAAAACGAGCCGCAGAAGCTAAGTAAATAACGAAATAATACGCTATAAGAAACATACTTTTGCCGTTCCCAATTTCTCAATGTTTGTCACGATCTGCAAGGCGGCGTATTTCGCTTCCAATCTTTTTTGCTTGGTTTCCAACTTCTCGCCCTCTTTACAAAACGGCCTGGGCAAAATGTTTTGGAACGGGGCAGCCTGTAAAAGATCGCATACCTCTTCCTGGGATAAAGCTTGTTCCATCAGCAAGCAAAACAAAATGATGTTGCCGAACTCTCGGAAATTGTGAAAGAGCTCCGTTTTCGTATCAGGGTACTGGACAATGTCGTTTAACTGAGCGTGATAGTAGCCTAAAACTCCCGGAGAACCGTAGTCGTAGATGGGCAGCTTGCACACTTTTGGCATCACCTCTGTGAGGGCTCTAGCGAATTGCAGGAGGTTGCCTTGGATCAAATTTTTCACCACTTTCAACAGTTCCTCCATTACAACGGCTATGCCCTGGTAGCCCAATAATTTACACATAGTGTGAAAGTGTTGAGGTCCAACGAAGCCGGAGTATTGGCCATATTGCGTGGCGTACGCTAAATTTAATTGTTTAGTACCATACTGATAGTGATAAGACATCTGAGGTGGCTTATCTCGAATTACAGGTTGCGCAAATGTGATTCCTCTGTATTTAGTAAACCTATTTAAAAAATATATTTTCAACATACACAAAGCGTATATAAAGGTAGTTTAGGCTTGGTGCATTTCAGTTGATTTCAACAAATTCCGACCGCAGCGCTTCAACGGCAAAAATCAGAAATTGTCAGTATATAGTTCACGCCGCCGCGCCGTCATGTTTATTGCATTAAAATAATATTGAAATCGTGGTTTTGTCATAATATTTAAGTATTTTAGTTTTTTGCTAGCGCAGTTATTGAAACTATAAAACACTGAGGTACGAGGTTTGTGTGATGTAACGCTGTTTCGGGTAGTAAAAAAATAAGTAAAAAAGTATTCGAACTAGGCGTTGTGTTGTGGTTGTGACAATTTAAAATGTTTATAAAATTGCCGAAAAATGTTAACGCTGGAATAATAAATTATAATACAAATTACACCTTCTAAATATATCGCAATATTTAAATCTTAATTTTTATTTTTAGAATTTTAATAAATTATACTTCAGAGCACTTTTACAATAACAAATAAAACGAATTTTTCGAGTATTCTCAATTTAAACCCGTGTATTTGTTTAGTCCGCTGTTTACAGCATTCTCCGATGGTGGCAGCACCGGCGGAGAATGCACCAAGCCTATATGTACTTATTACCTATTAGTAGCAGCATTATAAACATAATTGGCTAAAAAATCATAATTAAGCTCCCAAAAAACATGTAGCGTTATTCTTCCATAGGGTGCCAACACATTATGATTGGCTTCTCTTAACATTGAATCAAAATCATCCAACGCTAATAATTTACTAAGCAACTTGTGGCAAAGTCGGTTTACCTGCAACATAAACAATACAAGATTTGCCTGTATTGTAATGCCTCGTCTACACATAACGTTTTGCCTGAAGCTTTATCAATTATAGCATTGTGTTTAGTTAAATTGAAAAGAAAAAAATATCTATTATAGAGATCCCTTCAGTTTTCTTTAGAACAGACAGAAAAGGCAAGGCAAATAGGTAAAATGTGTAGACAAAGTTTCAGAGAGTATTATCAAAACAGAAAATTACTTGCAAGAGTCCATCAAGTTCTATAACGCCAGTAATATCACCGCCTTCAAATTTGCTGATGGCCAAGTCCAAAGATTTCTGCATGTCAGCGTTAATTCTCTGAGTTATAAGTTTGTTCAAATCGACGGATCTACCTAATAATTGCACGTGTCTCTGTTTTAGCAATGTCTCATATCTACTTGCTCTGGGATAAGGCAACAAATACACTCCTAACGCTGAACACTCTACTCTGAATCTTTTATCTAAAAATATGCTAGAAAAAATTTATAAATTAAAAAAATACAATGTTTTTTAATATTTTTACCTGGCAGCAAGCTGTTTATAGTAAGCAAAAATCTGCTCGCTAAGCTTAAAAACAAACTGATCAAAACAAAGATTTACTTCTGCTTCTACCTCGTCGTAGAGAAATTGTTTTCTAAAAATACTCAGTGCATACAGAGCACTGTCATTGTATAAATCCAAGGGATACAGGACATACCTAAACAAAATCAACATATTGTAGGGTAAATAAAACACAACACTGTATGTCTTACTCCATCATAGAAGGTTCTTTTGTCTTTAGAATGTGGTCAGTTAAGATCCAAGGCATGGACATGTCTATTGGAAACTGGATCCTTTTCTCCATAGTGATCAAGTCATTACATTCTTCATTATGGTGATGTCGAACGGTACATTTCTGTAAGCATTAATTTAAAAACAGTACAAAAACTATTAAGGGTTTATTTACATTGATTTTTCTTCCCATTGTCATTTCGAGGTAGAATTCTCGGTACCACAGCTGCGAAAGGTCGCAACATTTCTGTAAATATTCGCTGAAACTAAGCAAATAATTGTAAAAAAACGAGGTCTTGTGGAACTGATCGATTTGTCCTAAATATGCACCGTCAATATCTTTTCTCAGAGTCTTTTTTCCGCCTGATTTTTCCGATATTAAACATTCCAGCATTGTCCTGATCATATACAGCTGCGTGGAAGATGGCCCTGTAATTTTAGAAATATTATTATGGTCTTATTGAAGTAATTATTGTGCCCTAAATGCTTACCGACATTCCTTCTGGGAACTCTCAATGTGAAACCACTATCAGGGTCCTTTTTACCTTTCAAAGCTGGGTCTTGCAAGGGATCGACACCTTTTTGCCAATCAGCGCAGGTTTCTCTGACAGACATAATTATACTAAAAATATTACACAATATTTCAAGCATATTTTATTTTTATTTTGAAACACTAATTTTTAGATTTATTACTTTGTGTAGGGATATATTTTAGATTTCTTAGTATTTTGAACTAGGGTAATTAAAGGAAAAATACCTTCTTATCAAGTCCTTTTTATTTTTAATCGCTTTCCGCAGAGGCTCCCTTAAAGTGATTTGAACGAAATCTTGCAGTTCCGCGTAAATGTTTCTTCTTATCGCATCGGTAAAGACTGTTTCCATACGCGCCATCAACACTTGAAGCCCTTTTATCATAGCGATGACCTCAATTAAGGCAAACTTCTCATCCTCGCTGTAATTATATCTTGTAGCTCTTTCGTACTCTTCAGCTTCTTTGGGGCAATCTTTATTCTGATGGTGGTCTGTTGGATGCAGAAGTTTCCAAGAATATAGCTCTGTAACAACGCTTGTCCACTCAGAGAGTAACTGCAATCCTCTTAAAGCAAGTTCAGCAGTTTCCTTATTTTCACTGTCACTCCCACACTCTTTATAAGTTGTGGTTACTTCATTTGAATAACGTGCCAGTTCTGAGATATATTTGACATGATCTTCTCTAATTTGGGGCAAGTGTACCATGAGATCGGCTTGGGGCGACGGTATCTGACTGCTTGACAGTGGCCATTTACTTGCATCAAAGTGTTTGCTTCGTTTAATGTAATTGAACGGAGCTATCTGCATATCACCAAAAAGAGGCACCACTTCCAAGTTCTAAACAATAGAATTGTGAGTAATAAACTAATAATATAATTTAATAAATAAATAAAAAAGATATTTACTAACAGACCTTAAATATTCTGTCGATTTTATCGAGACGTAGTTTTTTCTTCTGATCAAGTTTATTGATGTTGCATATATCATTGTCCATTAAAAACAATCCGAACCCCATAACTTTGACTAGCATATGCTTTTCACTAGGAATTAAATACATTTTCGATTCAAACATGTGAACACAAATGTTAACTACGTCAGCCAACAATTCCTCATAGCCGGGGATCTTTTCTAGATTCTCCTTAACAGTGTCACGGATTTTATTCTGAGTGGCTAGAAACATTGATAGGTTTTGAGACTCTTGTAAAGTCTGAGAGTCTGACATCACTTTTAAAAACTGAGCAGCTCTAAAACATATTAATTATATTAATCTCTTTACACCATTAAACAAATATAATCTTTTACCTTCTATATGTTGAGTAATCATTTTTTACACTGGATTTCATATTTTTTAATTCATCAAGAACAGCAAACATATTTATGAACTTTCCAAGGGTAAGAAGATATGCTTCAGATACAAAATCTTTTCTTTTTTCAGTGTGACATAAACGTTTTATTTCTTGAGAAAATCTTTCAATAGCTTTCCTCTAAAATTTATATTTTTTACTTTAACAACTAAATAAATGAATACAAAATACGTACTTGAAAATACATAAAATTCAATAGTTTGTTAACTTCCGGAGAAAGAACCTCGACTGTTTTTTCATAAATCTCGACTCTATTTGGTTGCTCATTTGATTTTGGTTGTGGTATTGCTCGAGAACAACATCTCCATGTATATAGCATGACTGCATGTTCTTGTCCTTCATCAAGTAAAACATTCTAAAAACATATAGTCGTATAACAGAAATACAATTACCTAAAGAAAACCAAATACCAGGCCGGCATGAACCGTTGCTTCTTCAATGTACTTTGCTATCCCTGTTACAAATCCATTACGATCCTCAAAATTGGTATCAAAATTAGCTTGATATACTAAGCTACACGGTTGAGCCTCAATACACGGTTGTTCGTCAGGCAATGGTAATTCATCTAGTACTTCAACGTTGGATAAAGCATCATTCATAGAAACTCTATCAGTTCCTGCCATTCTGAACACAATTTTCCAGTCTTTGCAAACTATATGAACATTATCTAATATTGAGTTGGTAGTTTTTAGTGCACCTTGCACCTACAAGTTCAGATTTCACCTATGTAATCCCAGTACAATATATAATTTAATTAACTAAAAAAACATCGAATTAAATAAAGCAAAACAGAGAAGAGGTGCGGCATATACCAAATACCCAAAGATATTTATTTCTAAAGACAGGAATGTCAGAATGATATTGGTTCTGTGGTATGACCGCCGACATTATCTTCTTATCTATGGGTATCATATATTTATAAACTAAAAATGTAGTTAATATTATATATGATGGGTATGACAGTTCTCGAGGGCACAGTGGGGCAGAGTTGTTAAAAACTGGTCAAAAATACTTCTCAGAAGCTAATTCCAGAAATCGTTAGTGTAACTTTGGTGTAATTACTTTTAGTCTGTGCTTTAGTTACTAGTTGACGTATTTTTTCTACTCGCTGTTTCTTGAATATGGTGAAGGAAAATGAGAAGAAAATGAAATTGTAAAGTATGATGAGTGTATTGAAAGTTGATGGCATGTTGATCATATGTTGATGGTTTTGTATGTTATATGTTACTGACGTTGACGTTGAAATTCCCTTGATTTTCACTGTCATGTTTCCCAATTATAAACAAAACAATGGATATTGGCAAATATTATCATGAAATGTACTTAATTAATTTATAAACCTCTCTCCAGTCATGCCCGATCACCAAGAAACTGTACTTTTGAGCACATTTGTCAATGGAAAAAGAAGAGTTAAAATTATTTTCCATAAAGGTGTTCTTATTTGGGATAACAACAAACCACCTCTAGGTATGTCCTTAAAAATTACAATTTCTTAAATATCATTTAGTACAACTATATAAACCAGGTATAAAAATATTAGCTATATTTTTGTTACAGAACAACATACAGTACCAATTGAAAATGTTTTGTCGGTCAAACATGACATGTCAAAAAGCAGTGGCCCCCATTTAGAAATAAACCCCCATCAATTCACAATTCACTACTCCGAAAAATCGAAGAATGATAAATGGGTTTATAAGAACATAACATTAAAGCATTCAGATCCTTTACAAGTAGCATCCTGGGTAAAAACCTTACAAAATCACTTATCAAGTATGTTGATTAAAATATGTTTCGGTATACATTTATAAAATTAACTTTGCTCTTCTAGAATTTGTTAAAAGGCCAAAGCATTTATTGCTATTTGTGAATCCATTTGGGGGCAAGCAAAATGCAATGGATATTTATGAAAAATATGGTAAAGATCTGTTTGCTCTCGCTGGGGTTGATGTAACTGTTAATGTCTCCCAAAGAAAAGATCAAATCAAGGATTTTTTAATTAATCATACCTTAGATATGTTTGACTCTGTAGCATGTGTGGGTGAGTGGTATTCTGATTTTAAAAACATTTAAAAGCATTGTTTGTTTGATTTTAGGTGGTGATGGGACTGTGTCAGAATTATTTAATGGTCTAGTTTTAAGGGAATGTAGACTTAGAAAAATTGACGCGAACAATATTAATGAGAATTTGCCAAAACCTAATAAAATTGTTGGAATAATACCAGGTATTTTTTGTTATTTCAATTGATGTTTTTTGAAGGTGTAGAATTGAAATTTTTAACTAGAAGTGAAAGTGAAATTTTTATTATGGGCTAAAATATATTATCTACATATTTTTAAAACATCCCTATTCTTGTTTATGTACAATTAATGAGGTGCTTTATATATAATTATTTTCATGGCTATACAACCAGTTCATGGCAATGTTTATTTAATTAGTTTTGAACTAGGAATTATAAAACGCTTTTTCAAAGGTCATTCAAATTATAAAAATGAACTTTGATGGGTTTGTTTTATTTATAGAAATATAAAAAAAATATATCTTAAACAGGAATTATTTTTTTCAAATTATAGGATATTCATTTTATTTTTATTTAAAAGAAATATAATAAATTGTCTATAAAATTGTATTTCAGGTGGTAGTACGGATACAATTGCATATTGCATTCATGGTACTACAGATCCTACCACAGCAGTATTGCACATTATATTTGGTGATACCTTAGGGTTGGATTTAGTTTCTGTATATGATGAACGCAATTTGTTGAGATTGTATGCTAGTGTATTAAGTTATGGGTACTTAGGAGACGTAGCCTTTCATAGTGATCAGTATAGATGGATGGGTCCTCATAGATATGATTATTCAGGTGTGTTACTTATTTAGTACAGGTTTCTTTAGTAGTAGAATGATATAAAAAATTCGCAGGATTCAAGAAATTAATTTTAAACAAAGGGTATAATGGCGAAATAGCTATATACACGGATAAAAAGGAAGTATTAGATGTAGATTGCAAGAGAAGTTGTCAGATATGTACGGAAAAAGAAATGGAAAAGGGGGATAATTGCAAGTCAGTTTTAGTTCATTAATCAAAATTATCTATAACGCAACTATTTTCTGACATTTTTAGATGGGAAACATTTCAAGGAAAATACTTTATGGTTAGTGGGGCCAATATTAGTTGTGCATGCAGTAGGAGCCCTAAAGGTATCGCCCCCTATTGCCACTTGGGCGATGGAAAAGTCAATTTGGTTCTTGTCAAACATACCACAGTACTTAATAATATTAGGTAACTTATTTTTTATTTTTTTATTTAAAATTAACTTTTTTATTAACTCCAAATCAGATTATTGCTGAGACTGTCACGCCAGAACGCAGTGGTGGAAGATTTACCGTTTGTGCAGACGATTAGCGCCAGGGAGTTTTGTTTTAGGGCCTTAGAGGACTCCGTTGGTAAATGGAATTGCGATGGAGAGGTTCAGCATCAAGCGAATATTCGGGCTAAGTAAGAACTTTAATCGAATTAAAATAATATAATAGGGCAACAACAATTATATTCAAACGCCCATCCCTGATCCTATGCCTAAATAACTGAAGATATGAATGGTTTATGCAACCATGAATACATGCATGTCTGTAATTGCCCCATTATTATTTCTTTTTGACTTTAAACTAATACGTTTCTCTGTTGTAGGGTACGTTGCCAGCTACTTACTATTTTCAGTCGAGGTCGTGAGGGAAACAATAGTATTAAAACAACCTGCTGTAGTTTTTAGATGTAATAAATAATACATGGGTTTCCAAAATGATATAGTCGCCCTCACATACAAGTGAAAAAAAATTAAATGTAATGAACTCTAGTATTAACATCACATTCGATGTACAAGCATTGAAAGATAGCTCCCTACATTTGGTGATAAATTTGGAATAGTGTTTATATGTAGTATTATTATAAGGATTAGGTACCACTTGTATTTTGCTCAAGTAGGCATATAAGAAGTGTTATTGATATGTACACACCGTCCATAATGTTTAAACAGTATAATTTATTGACATGTTTTGTATATTATTTGTTCTATCTTGATTGTAGGAATATATATATATGTTGAGAAAAAATCACTTTGTTTATTTTTAATAAAGGTTTTTATCATATAACAACGAAATATTTGTATATTTTAACTATAACACCAAATTATTTATATCTGATCTGTTAAACGTTCTGATAAAAATACAAGTACCAGGATTCTGAAGTTATGTATACAGGATGGTCCGAATTGTATTCGAGAGACTTCGGCAGCATATTCTGCAGATAAAAATAGGTAAAAAAGTTCGTATAAATTTATGTCCTAAAATGCTTCTTTTCGGAGATACAGGGTGTAGAAGTTTCATTTTTATTTCGATTTTTCAAAATAATTTCTGAATTAACGTAGACATTTGGATGAAAATTGGTGTCTAGGTGTTTTTTGACATGAGAAATTTGATTTCGATGTTAATATGACTCCAACATGTATAGGGGACACCAACTATATGTTTTTAACTATTTCAAGAGTAATAACTTGTCGTCCCTACTGTATAAAACTACTGAGTGAAAAAATATACATTTCCGTAAAAAAAATCTATACGAGCGTTTTCAAGATATTTGGAATTGAAATAGTCAATACATCTCAAAAAATAAACATGTTGACTAGATTGTTTTCACATCACTAAAATGATAAATTTGGGAACTTTTTATTTTTTAAGCTGATCATGAATTTTTCTAGAAAAATACGATACGCCTCCTACAAGTAGGAGTCATGCTGACATAGAAATTGAATTTGTCATGTCAACCCAGATACCAATTTTCATAAAAATAGTTCTATGAAATATTCAAAGTTTCAAATTTCGTAAAAATAAAATTGAAACTTCTACACCCTGTATCTCCGAAACGAAGTATTTTAGGACATACATATATACGAATTATTAATTATTTTTATCCGCAGAGTATGCTGCCGAAGTTTCCCGAATACAATTCGGGCCACCTTGTATAATAAAAAAAAGCGTCAAAGTGATTTTAGATAAAACCAGTGGATTACTCATAATATTAAAATATATTTTTCAGAAATCTACAATAAAAGTTTAGTAAAATAAATTGGTTAAATAACTAAATTTAAAAAACAATGAAAATTGAAACTAAACATGCATATTTATATCTGACCAGAAGCCCTAAAATATAAATATAGTAACATTTATAAGTGATATATTTTTGTATGTAAATTATATGCGATTTAAAAAGAAATAAATAAATAAAGAGAGAAACACGTTTTAACAATAAAATCAATATTGTTCATTTTGTCAATTAAAAAAAAATTAAATCATCAGCCAAATCTTGAAATGAAAGTGAACGTCATTGTTGAGTTTTTAAGTACATTTATCAAATAAATATTAAATTTCCTCTCCCTGTGTTTCAAGAAGCATTTTCAGCTGAAACTAATAAAAAAGTACATATTTTTTTTTTATTCTAATACCATATATGTTATTTATCAGTAATTTCTAATTCACATCAATTAAAGAAATTTTGATTGAATAACATAAAAAAGGAAGCAGCTTTTACTTTACGTATATGCCATATATACTTAAGAGACATGCTTATTTGAATGTCCTGTATATTAAAGGGCTGAACACATATATAAGTGGAGGAAGTGCAATTTTGTTTAATTTCACTGAACGCAGCATGAGTTCTTGTGTCCGTTTTTGGCTTTCAATCGAGATTTGGGACGGTACTTCTCTAAGAAGGCCAGTTGTTTGGCATTGATGGCCCCACGCCTTTTCCTAAAAAAAATAATCCAGCGACATATAAACGTGTATAATGAAATTATTGACGTACTCTCTTATTAGTTCCACTGCCTCTTCATATTTCAAACCTAGCTCAATGAGGGCTAGAGCGACCATAACGGGAGCCCTGCCTAGTCCGGCAACGCAGTGAACCGCCACGCATCCATCTGGATGCTCGTTAAACTGCTTCTTCAGCACTTTAAACCATTCGTCAACTATGTCATTGGGCGGGAAAGTACCATCGTCATACATTAAATCAAAAACCTCGATGTTAACATTCTTAAGCTCATCAGTTTTATAAGACGGTTCGCATACGCGAACTACTGTTGTCACATTATGTTTTTGCAGTTCCTATAATTAATATAAAATGATTTATTTGGTAATCACATAATTACATTGCACACACCTGAATGTAAAGTACGATATTTTGATCTGAAGGTCTGTCAGTAATAAGAAATTTAAAGCCTTTATATTCTATTTCAGCTGGTGCTGGTCGCAAATCCTTCTGTCTCATGATGCCAGTAGTCATAGCCTTTTTTTATTTGATACAATTCAACTATTGATCTATTTTGTGTTTTTAGGTACTAAAGCACAAACAGTTAGAAAAAAATCTAAGACAATAGATAACTGAAAAAAAGTTTGCGTGAATGTTCCTTACACTAAAGTGATATGCACCAGCATGAATTCAAGAAAACTCAACAACGCATCCTATGTTCGAAGGAAAGAAATAAATTAGAAAAATAAAATAAAGTTTAATGCAGAGCTTATTTGGCTTTGTCGAGGTAAATCCAATTAGCTATAGCGAAATTGCAAATTATTTTGATATTTTTGTTTGCATTTAATTTATTTGTGTTGGGCCTGGCAATATTCTGCACTATCCAAATGGAACTCCATGTATGCGAGAACAGGTTCACCCAAATACTAAAAATAAAATATTCGAATTTACTCGACGAATATTAAATAAACAAAAATATAGCCAAAATGTGATAAACGGATAAACAGCTTAAAGTAAATTATTTTGTTTATTTGCGCTGTTATGTTTTTTGGCAGAATTCTAAGGATGTCGTAAGATGTTGTAATTTCATTCCTGATTGCAGTTTTTTGAAAATATTTTTACGCTTTATATTAATAGTTTGGTTGCAGAGCTATTATAATCTATAAAGAGCGGTCGAGGAAAGTTATTTACCAAAAATACCAATTTCAACATTATTTTATTTGATATCTATATTTATTTTACTAAATATATATTTTTCAATTTAATAATTCTAATTTGATATATTCGATTTGATTTATATTTATGTATTTTTTATTTATTTGATTCATAGAAAAATTGATTTTAAAGAGAAATTATTAGAACACATGACCCTGATAAAATGTAACTATCAATATGTATTATCTTGGATATTGTTTTTCTATAGATAAAAAAATAATTGGTTATTATAATTATATACTCTCCCTATTTCGCGTTCGATTAGAATAACTGATTCTTAAACTCATGTTTATGTCCCGTGTGCGATTTTCAAATTAATTTAGATTTGATTAAATTCTGCTATTGAAATTTCACAATTTGGTGTTTTATTTTGGCTGTTATGATTTTGAGCATTGAGATACAAAGGACAGGTGTAAAGGAGACGATTCAAGGCAATTCGAAAATATAGAACGGATCGTGCCCTTTACAACCTCAATTCCAAAATTAGTACATTTTTAGAGAGACAAAACTACTTGAGCTGTCCATATAAAGGTCATAATAGAGAACAAACTTACTGCTATAGCCATACACATTGAAAATAGAATTTCCGGAGTACCACCGAACGTGGATAAGTACAAAGGCAAACACCAAAACACAGCAAACGACAAGCCCTTTATAGGACGATTTTACTTTTGCACAGAGAATAAACCTTCAAGATGGTTCTTGATCAAAATCTCCTACTGACGTCAGAGTCTGACACAAGCTCCGCCTTTTCCATTATAACCATCGAATACGTCACGATTATCTCCTGTTCTCTCCTCAGTATGTCGGATCGTGTATATCTGTCTTTATTTGTACTTATCGAGCGAACGTCATAGCACGCCCACATATAGGCAACTCACAATTTAGGAAATTATTTTCATTATTTAATAAAAAAAATTTTATTGCGCCATTATATGGATTTTACATCTGGGTTTTTTGTTTCGGTATTTAGTTCCATCCAGGATTACATTTTTTAAAGAATAAATCAGTTATATAAATCTATGTTCTATTCAGGCTAAAAGTGGTCGTATAAAATTCATATCACATATCACTGTTATGATATACAGGGTGATTCAGATTTTACTAGAATAACTTCAGGTATCGATAGAACTAACCGAAATAATGAGTTTGTATTATAAACCATACTCCAAAAACGCTTCCGCTTGGAGTAAAATGGCGCCAAAATTTGAATTATTTTTCGGTTTTTATTGTATTAGTCGTAAGCCAGAGGATCTAAATACGCAAGTGTTTGGTTAAATGCTAAGGGCAACGGGGCTGATATGTGTGAAAAAAATTGGATTAATTGCTATACAGGGTGTTGTTTTTGTGAGTGTCAACTGCACGGAACCTTATAGAACTTTTTTGTCGCACGCCACTGAATAAATTTGTATTTTTTTCTGATACCTTGCGTCTTTTTACTAACTTTTCTTGTTCTTAAATTTTTTTTATATGTCGCTTAGTTTTCGAGATATTCCACAAAATTCCGGATATAGTAAGACTATCATGGAAAAGGTTCAAAACAAAATGACACTGAAAATTGACATGTTTTTAATGACAAGAACGACGAACATTTAACAATAAAAATACATTTTTTAGTGCTCGAAATGCATTCCTCCAGCCTCAATACATTTATTGCACCGACGCGACGAATCAATGTATTAACCGCTGCTCCAACTGTAATGGGATTATTTCTTAAGGTGTTACAGGCGTTCTGTATTCTTTCAATTAATTCATTGCGGGTATTTATTGGTGTTGCATAAACGATATCTTTAACATGACCCCAAACATAATAATCGAGGGGATTTAGGTCCGGTGAACGTGCAGGCCAAGCCAGTGGCCCCTCACCGGGAATTAAATTCTGACGGTTGCCGCGTAGACGTCCTATCCATCGGTGAGGATAATTTTCGTCCAGCCACTGTCGCACTTGCCGTCCAGAGTGTGCAGGAGCACCGTCTAATTGCATCCAATTTTCTTCACGTAAATTTAATGGAACGTCTTCAAGAACTTCAGGAAGAAAGTTTTCCAGAAAATCATGGAACAAATTGGCATTTAAGCGAGGAGGGAGAAAATGTGGTCCACACAGATTATTACTTATAACGCCAATCCACACATTTGCACTGAACTCGTGCTGAAATGAAGATTGCCTAATAGATCTAGGATTTTCGTGATCCCATACGCGGAGATTATGATAGTTCACAACTCCAGCTCTCGTGAAATTAGACTCATCTGTCCACAAGACTGTGCAGAAAATGTGGATTTATTTCGACAGACTCCAAAATCCATCTACAAAATGTAAGTCGTCTTTCAGCATCTTCAGGTACCAAGCCTTGCAAATGGAAGGCTTTTTGGTGATCTTGCTTAAGAGCTCTAAAAACCTTAGATTGGCATACACCGAGTTGTCGGGCTGCTCGGCGTGTACTCGTTTTTCTATTAATGTCGAAGACTTGAAGAATTCTGTTGTTATCTCTTTGACGACCAATGCGATTTTGGTTATTAGGAACGCCAAATCCATGTTCATGAAAACGACGATGTACTTCTACAAAAGTGTGGGAGTGCGGAACTCTTGTTCGGAAATCGTAGGCGGTATTCTTCAACGGCAGCATTAGAATTTCCGTCGCAGAAACCATAAACATAATGCATGTTGGCGTATTCGGCATTTGTAAAAGTTCTGGGCATCTTTTTGCACAATAAACTTCACAACTAAAGTCACAAACAACAATGAAATTTATTTTGACTTTAAACAGTTTACTCTAGGATGTGTTTTGTTCTCCAAGGCATGCTGCTAATTATGTAACATTTTTCGAACGCAACTGAGCTATGTCCGGAATTTTGTGGAATATCTCGAAAACTAAGCGACATATCAAAAAAAATTAAGAACAAGAAAAGTTAGTAAAAAGACGGAAGTTATCAAAAAAAATACAAATTTATCCAGTGGCGTGCGACAAAAAAGTTCGACAGGGTTCCGTGCAGTTGACACTCACAAAAGCAACGCCCTGTATAGCAATTAATCCAATTTTTTTCACACATATCAGCCACGTTGCCCTTAGCATTTGACCAAACACTTGCGTATTTAGATCCTCTGGCTTACGAGTAATAAAATAAAAACCGAAAAATAATTCAAATTTTGACGCCATTTTACTCCAAGCGGAAGCGTTTTTGGAGTATGGTTTATAATACAAACTATCATTATTTCGGTTAGTTCTATCGATACCTGAAGTTATTCTGGTAAAATCTGAATCACCCTGTATATTTATACCTATTAGTATTTTTCAATATTTATAGTAAACCTGTATAAAATTAAAACTTGTATGCATTTAATGTATACTAGGTCTCGAATGTTTAAATCACTATAGCAGATTTTATATTGCGCCTTCGCCAAATAGTTAAAATAGTGCATTACTATTTGAGATCATTAAAACTCTTGAAACTTCATAACTTTTATTCAAAATACAAAGTACAAGTCATCTTATATTATTAAATATTCAATCACATCATATTGCTGTCAGATCTTTTCATTCGATATTGATAATTAACCATAGTACTTAAGTAAGAAACTAAAATACTTAACAATCAACTGCAAATTAAGGTAAATTAGTACAGGCTATATTTTATCTTGACGTAATAAGCAAATACAATGTACTGTTAAGTACAGAATAGATTTTTAAGCTATATGGAATGTTTTTTAGCAATACCTAGGTAAATCTATCGTTAGGTCTCTAAGTATTGCCAAATTAAAATAAATGGAAAAATAAGTATACAAGTTACAATTAAAAAACTAGTGTATAAGTTGCCTCAAATAGTTGGCAGTATTAGGAGTATAATCATAAAAAAAAAGAACAATGAAAGAGATCATTAATTGTATAAATAATATCTTTTAGTTAATAATTCAGATAAATCAGTCCTATTCTATTTGCACTTTCATTTTGCCACTAGCTTACAGATGTTGAATATAATAAGTTAGCATCATAATTAAAAGACTATGCTATGTCAACTCTACTCATAAGGGAAACGCCAATACAGAGGCGTAGCAAGTTTTCGCCCACGGCCACAGATAGCGAGTAAAGCGTTTAAAGTGTATATTTTTGTATTAAGAACCGCTAAACGCTACGCGCCTTTGGTCGGGACACTCAAGACGCTTTACTCGCTTTTCCGTTAAAATCCTCTGGCTACGCCTCTGGTAAACAACGAAATTACTTTTTTATTTAGAGCTACGCACGCAGTTTAAATTCTGCCTGGAACTAAGTTACAAGAACAATTTAAAAATAGAATTGAAAGTCTTCCTATATTCTGCTGATATGTAACGCTTCTCCTTAGGTGCTCGTGACTGTTTTCAGAGATTAAAAAATTCTAAAGTTTTAAAGAATCCTAACTCTAAATAAAACTGTTGTTATTTGTTGGATTTTGTGTGGGCAGCTAGGCAGTGTAACTTCGAAAGCAAGTGTAAAAATCGGCTTTTCACACACCCGAACGTTTCTAGAGATATGCTTTTGGAGTGAACATTTTAGATCTTAGATGTCAACAATTATAAACTGGATTATTCAAATAATAAGCGACCGTATTAGTTTTAATCTGTTGTTGGCAGTTCAAGGACAGTCATTATTTTCTTTTTTGTAGTTAATATTGGCTGAATATTTTAATATCGTGTCGTTCTTATACTTATATATCCGTAAAAATTCGTAAACATCTTTTTTGAAATTTAAAATTATTATGTAAATATATTTTATGCATTTGTTGGCTCGTCCTCTACCTGCCAAGATCTTCGATATTTTTTTTATTTAATTTGCTTTGCAACCTAAACAGATTAATAACCAATTAATGATACCGTTAGTACTTAAGATTACCAAATTTGGTAAGGGCATTTTTTTAAAAATAATATCTAATAAATATAATACTTCACAAATCAGAATTATTGAAATTATTTTTTGTGTTTGTTTAGTTTAAATTAATGAATAACTATGTACTTAAATGATTAATCCTTATTAGTGTTCTCTAAATCTGCCCCAACACTTGAGGACGCCTCTGTTTTAATGTTTTCTTTTGCCGTATGCGCTTCTAAGGCCTCCTTCACTAATTTAATGGTTTTTGCCGTGTTTGGGTTAAAATCGTGGTTTGTGACGGAGCTCGGGTTTCTGGAGTGACACCTCGAGTGACCCCTGCTGTGCATATCCGAAAATACTACAAAATTTAAAGGTGAAGCTAATAGCACTAAATACTATTGTTAATTTGGACTTACATTTATCTAAACTTATAATTGACCCGACTATTTCTTTCGGGGTCATTACTTTTTCCTCGTCTATTAATTTTCTTCGTTTTATCAGCCACCAATCGATTAGAAATATTCCTAATGCTAATATTTTTATGCTGCCACATAAACCCACATACCTGTACCTGAACTGTTCTATATCGTACAAGAGACACCTGCCTGAAAAGTTTTATTTCGTTAAATAAATCTGTTTTTTTTCACTCGCATCTAGGAAATTTTATTTCATTGATCATTCAGTTTTAGAACAGATCTGGCGTTTTACTTACATTGAAAAAACTAAAAGCAAAGGGTATAGCAGCATTAATTTAGGAAATCTGCCCCCGCGGCTTTTTTGACTCCCACTCAAGGGATCAATTTGGTGTCGAATCAAAATAATTCACCTAAATTTTTAGCTCTTTAACTAAACGGGTTTTTCAATTTTATTTTTTTTATAATAAAATTCAAAATAAATTAATTATGATTTTTTTTAATTTTTAGAAGTCTAAGACATGAAAAAATAATATGATCATGATTCTTAAACGAAAAGCCGATTTTTAGCGGCGGAAAGAAAATTAAAATCAACATTTTTTTTAACCTTTGTTAAATATGTCACTCACTAAAAATCGTCAAAAAATGTCTTTTATACTCATATATGAAAAACACTACCCAAGCAGCATTTGGACGTCGGGACAACGTTGTGTCACGCGACCAAACGTCGGGGCGCAACGTCGGCACAACCCTAGTCTGCACTAGTTTGGAGAATAATTTTTGGGTCGAAACGACGTTGGATACCGACGTTGGCTAGAAGCCTAATTTAGTACAAACTGCAACGTTGTTTAAAATCCTAATTCACAGAAATACAAAACTAATATGGCGTCTAAGTCGCGTTTTATCCTAAATTGGGATAATTATAGTAAAAATATTATATTTATAATTTAGTTAGAGACATATGTCAGATGGCAGTGAAGGAAAACAAAACAAAAGTATTTAAGTGTGGAGGATGTTTGAAGATCATAATTATTGAAACACTTTAACCGACTCTGTAACTCGTTACCCAAGGTAAAAAGTTAAACGCAAACAACTTTATTGATAAATGTATTGTTTCTACTTTAAAAAATACTAATGGGCCTTGAAATTAAAGAAGTTTTAAAAATTTTCTTGAATTTTTTTTTTAGTAAAATGAGAATAATTTATTCGCATTCGAAAAAATTGTTTCCGCGTATTTTTTAGGGTCAAATATTTCAAGTTAATGTATTCAAAAAGCAGGAATTGCTATTTTAAGAACGAAACATTTTCTTATTTAACAACATGGCGGCTTTAACTTTGTTGTTTTGGAGATTAAGATGGAGTAGTTCGAGTAGTCGCATACTGGACTAATAAAGTCGCAGTTCGGCCTTAACAGGTAGTATACTAGTCGCAAGATTGCCTAATTTAGTCATTCTAGAGTCTAGCTTGTGCCGCCCTCTATAATCTAAATAAACGAGGAAGTGTCGGTAATATATGTCGATGTATATTTAAATTTAGTTTTATATGTACCTTTCTTATGTCCCATTTTAATTAAGTTTTTTTTTTATAAAAACAAAAACAGCACTGAACTGTCTGACTGAACAGAACAATGAATTGAAAATTTAAGATTTAAGGTTATGGTTCAATACAGTTGCAAAAAGGTAGTGACTCTACGTCCTACCAACGTAAGAATAAGGAAATCTAAACAACGTTGGAATTAGTAAAACAGACGACGTTTGCATAACGTTGGAATAGGTCCTGAAACTGACGTCGGAAAACTCTATATTATCCAACGTTGTAACTACGTTGTCCAAATCACCTAAAGATCACTTAAGCAAAAAAGGTTACAAGACAACGTTTATTCGACGTCGCAGAAGCTTCTACTTTGCTGTAGTACTAGTCCAACGTCGGCACAACGTTATAAAAACGTTTAAATTTATTTTAATACCCAAGGTAGGGAGATAACTATTTTTTGTAACTAATCCAACGTTGTGTTTAGTAAACATGTGGTCGCAAGTCGTGAAAATGCTACTTGGGTACATATATGAAAAAAATAAAACTCATTTTTTTTCTAAAATCTTCTCGTACTCAATTTTTTTAAAATAATCTTTATGTCTATATCTGGCAAGGATGTATTTTTAATGAAAAAAATATTTTCTACTCACTTTTTTAAACTAAACAAAAATATAAGTTAGTTAAACCAGAAGATTTTAGAAAAAAAAAATCGTTTTTTAATTTTTTTCATATTGTTCCACCACTTCAAAAAATTCTAAAAAAATCCTGAGTGTAACAGAATATAAAAGACATTTTCTGACGATTTTTAGTGAGTGACATATTTCACAAAGGTTGAAAAAATGAAGATTTTAATTTTCTTTCCTCCGCTAAAAATCGACTTTTCGTTTAAGAATTATGATCATATTATTTTTTCATATCTTAAGACTTCAAAGAATTAGAAAAAAATCATCATTAATTAATTTTGAATTTTACTATAAAAATAAAAATAAAATTTAAAAAACAGTTTTTTTTGAAAATCTCGAAAACCGTTTGAGTTAAAGAGCTAAAAAATTAGGTGAATTATTTTGATTCGACACCAAATCGATCCGCTGAGTGCGAGTCAAAAATTTCTCATATTAATCCGGCTATACCATACCCCTTGCATAAAAATAAATATGGATTATATTTATACATTTCAGCATCTTTAATAGGCAACTTTTGGGGAGCATACATTTTTTAAAAATGGATCGGAGTTTTTAGTAAATATTTTAGTAAGGTTTGAGTACAGATTTGAGTGAAAAAAACTGATAGATATTTAAATACCTCCTTTTGTGCCACAGGTGCTTTTCCATAGCAAACAAGTGGAATCAATCAAATTTCCAAACAATATAGGCGCGGGGATGTATCCGAACAAGCGAAATATTACAAACTGCATGCCTAAGGCGAACGACCTTTCCTCTTCATCGACGGATCTAAAAAACGACTAATTACGAACCTCTGCAACTTAAAAAAGTACAGGGTGGGTCAAATTCGACGCTTTTAAATGGAAACACCCTTTTCTATAGGAGATAGACGAAAACTAATATCGGTGTCTGGAGCTGAATTTTTGTCAAAAACATGATGGTGAAAACCGCACATCAATATCTGTTACCGTTTCGGAGTTACGGGGTGTTTTTCAAAAATGTGCATTTTTAACAAATCGCTGTAACTTTTTTGCTATGGAAAATTTTGTATTTTTATGAAAACGTTTCCAAAGCACCTTTTTACGTAGAATTTAATGGTTTAAGTATAATTTTTTTAAAATTAATAATTTAAGAATTATCAACAGAAAATTTGATTTTTTATATGGGAAACCCTGTATATTTTTAATTTATCGAAAAGAATCCAAAAATATAACACACTTGATATTTTGCTCGATTCCTCTTCGAGATATTGAGTATATAAAAATTCGCCCGCTTTAAATAAGTAGGCTTTGAACAGCACCGGCTGTAATACAAAAAAATTCTAGCTGTGAGCATCAATTAAAACGAAAATAATATTTGCTATGAGAGATGCAGAATTTTATAACAATTTAAAATATATTTAACCTAACATCAACGCATTTAAACTATATCTAATAACAACAATAAAAATAAATAGCAAACCAAGACATGAGATTTTGCTACAGGTGTTCGACATATCGACCGTCTTCTGTTATGGACAGACGTAGACGGGGCAGTTTTTGAACATTTCTCGCGGAATTCATTAACTAAGTAGGGTGAAAGACACCCTCTCATAACTGCTAAGTATTTTTAATTATTGTCTAGATTATACGGAAGAATAAGGAACCTTTATTCTTCCGCAAATATATCCATAGGATTAGATCCATGGGCACTAAGTCAGGCGGTCTCGACGGCCAATGGCTGGGATCTTGGTTAGCTATCCAATTATTCTTGAAATTGGCTGCAAAACTTTGCTGATAACTTCAGCGTTCAGAGGCGGTGTGTCGTCTTGCTGGAAAAATATGTTTTCGAGTTCCATTAAGGGCATATCATCAATAAGGGGTCCAAAGCCTACTAGTTAAAAGTGGGGAACTTTCAAAAATTCTGTATTTCGAAGGGGATTATAACAAAATATCAAGTGTGCTATATTTTTGGAAAGGTAATTTTAAATTCTTTTCAGTTAATTAAAAATATAGAGGGTGTCCCAAATAAAAAAACAATTTTTCGGTTGATAACTCTTAAATTATTAATTTTAAAAAAATTATACTTAAACCATTAAATTCTACGTGAAAAGGTGCTTTGGAAATGTTTTCATTTTCATAGAAAAACAAAATTTCCCATAGCAAAAAAGTTACAGCGATTTGTTAAAAATGAACATTTTTAAAAAATACCCCATAACTCCGAAACGTTAACAGATATTGATGTGCGGTTTTCACCATCATGTTTTTGACAAAAATTGAGCTCCAGACACCGATATTAGTTTTCGTCTATCTCCTATAGAAAAGGGTGTTTCCATTTAAAAGCGTCGAATTTGACCCACCCTGTACACTATGTGCGCATATTTGAAGTGAAACTTCTTACTAACAGCTGTCAAATTGAAGGATTTGAAGGACATGTTTAAAAAAGTGTAATTTGAAATAAATTAAAAAAAATTACGCGTAAAAAATAGTTTTGCAAACGTGTAACAAATAATTTTTTAAAGAGTAAAAAAATTTTTAATTAAATTGCGTAAAGAAGATTCACTTCAAAAAATACGTTTATGCTCGCACCTCAGGACGATCATCAATAAAGGCATCTGTGTGATAGCTACTATAAACGTCATAAAAAACAACAATATCAAAAAAGGATATATGGTGTGACATTGCGAGTTGCAGGGCCCTGCGGTAGCCACAGGCACTATGGTAACCTCTGAATAGCCACTATCCAGTGGGGAAGCGTAATTTAAGGAAGAATTATTTTTTAAACTCATATTCCCATGTATACCTGCGAAATAACAGAGATTTTCTTTTTATTTAAACGGAGAAAAGGATGTTTCACTTACAGGCACAGTTGGTATAATTAGAGCTTAAAATAGACGTGCACCCCGCATGGCACGGACTGAAATAAGTGAGCCCGTTGTTGCCGCAAACCGGTTCCACATCGTTCATGCTGCACTCGCAGCCGAAGTTGCAGGAAGCCGTCAAATTCACCTGGAAGGGCTGAGTGCTGTTGAAGTAAGGGATGGTCGTGCCCGCCATCTTTAAATTGTCGCACCCCAAAAAAAATAACAGACCGTAGCACAGAAGGCAAATCGAATTGGAGATGAGCACGAACTGAACGGCGCCCTTAGGTCTCAGTTCCATCTTCTTCAAGATCAGCCCTCCAATGAAGATACCTATGCAAGCTCCGGGAATTGCGATTGATCCTAAAACAATTACGAATTGAAATATCGCCTTATCCCTTTTTTCTCCATCCCTGTACCTGTAAAAACGCTTGCCTGGCTTTTACCTAAACTGAACTGCGTTTCCAAATATTTTGGAAGAAACACTACAAACCCAGAGACGATTATCAGCTCCGTGCAAGCGCCTAAACATGTCACCATGTATACAGGATTAGAAGCAAGCTTCCACATTGATTTAGGAATATCTAAAAAAATTGATTAATACAATCACGTTTCTGATGTGTAGTTAATTCCGCACCTTTGATATCCCTTCCATAGGCTGGATCTTCTTCCTTCTTGATGGGGTTTGCTGCAATCTTCTCTTTTTCTTTGTTGGTGCTGTTTGAGTTGCTGCCTTGTTCCGCTGCTTTCTTTTCCATCAACCGTATTTTTTCCTTTTCGTGGACCAGCACTTTGGGAAAGGAAAAGAAAGGAATCGCCACGACGATCAGCAGAAAGCCGCATAAAAGGAACCCGCCCCACCACATACCAATCCAGCGCTTATCTCCCGCACTGATGGAGATTATTTTCGAAAAAGAGTCCATGTGAAACGAAAGTAAATATGCTCCAAGAAGGAATCCCAGAACAGGACCAAACGCGGCCATACTGTACATACATCCTGCAAAATGCATATAAAAAATGTTTATACCTATTTGGCGGATTCATCTCTCCAATAAAATCCTGTATGGTTATTTCGTATTTCGCCACTGCAAGAAAATCTACAAAATAAAATAGTTCTTTTTTGAATTTTAAAAAAAAAATATTTTAAATAGTTTTTTCTCTATTCTTTGTATTTTTTCGCTTCCGACGACGGAAAGAGATAAACTTTCCGAAACGTTAAGCATTTTTTTTGTGCGTTAGGCAAATTTTATTTTGTAGATTTTTTTTGCAGTGGCGAAATACGCATATAGAATTATTTTTTGGAGAAAATGCATATAGTATTGTGTTAATTAATTATCAGCATATGTCATATTAAAAACCATACCTATATAAATAGAGGAACTCTCAGGCCTGACGTGATCATCTACATAAGTAGTTCCTAGAGTAAATAAAGGCGACCCCCCACAGCCCAGTAGTAACTGAGCGACGACAAACAACAAAACGGGGGCTGTGGTAGAAGGTGAACCCCTAATGCAGTTGTCACCTCTGATGTTGTTTGGGGCTAATGGAGGTGACGATAGCCCCGAAGAAAGCCTTCCAAGCCCCATGTCTCGGTCATGCACAGTTACAACTCTGCACATATTATCTTCAGTGTTATTTAGCATCGCGATACCGACGTTTTCATCTGCGATAAAATGCGGTACCATGAATATAAGGGAGCCTATTCCCATTAAAACTGATCCGACGCCAATCCATACGGGTATGTGGCGTCGACTACCCAAGTAGCTTACAAATATAACTGTTATCACATTTCCTATTTCATAAGATGATGCAACTAAACCAGAGAGACTTGAAGGGATCTCAAACCTTTTTTCTATTGTTGTTATCACAGAATTAATGTATCCTGAACTTAACGCCTGTTGCAGTGTGACTAAGAAGGATAACAGTAGTACAAAAGTCTAAAAAATTAAATTCAATAACAGCATACAAAGAGGACTGAATTTAAAAAATACTTACTTTAATACTTGCAAGATTTTGAAGGCATGAGGGTCTAAAACCTAGTATGCCACACTGTTTGGTGTTTCCTAACATTAAAGGCTGTTCATTAGTTCGAGCCAGGGAGCCAACAGCAGATTGCATTGCCCTGTGAGGATCGAAATTAGCCGAGGGGTTTCTGCTGTGGCATTTAATGATAGTGTCCGTACCATGACAAAACGTTGTACACTTTGAGGTACTCTTATCTGGACAAGAACCACCCTGTTCTTCAGGAATGCTTTCAGAGTATAAGCCAGTCATTGCATACATTGATTCCTGCCTTCTGTATATTCAAAAATAAAAATGGAGTTTTTTTAGTAAGAAATTTTGAATTGGAAGTTTTCAAGAGCTAACCTATGTCCTTTACAGTGTCCTTGTGAAGTGGATCCTATAGTTTGACCACTTGTTTCCGTGGTCCCTGCTGGGGCTGTGGTCCCCATTTTTTCAGTGGTCCCTACCATTGCACGCGCTTTATTAATTAATTCAATATTAATTTAGTACATGGGCCAAGCATGGTTTCAAAGGCTAATATTGAGACTTAATACTGTAATGAAAAAAAAAAAAAATTTGAATGGCACATTATTTACCCAAATGTTGGAATAAAATAAACAGTTTACACAAAATACCAATAAATCTTCACAAGATAGTGAATATTTTTCTTTAGTAAAACACCTCCACATAAAAAAGCAAACCCCTTAAGAAAAATTTAGCGATTACAATGACTCAAAGCAAATATTTGTTTATCACTATTTTGTAAGAGTGGCATAGGTAAATCCGTGACTAAAAAATATTTTGTTGTTGAAAATCCTATAGATTACTTTAATAGATTATTTAATTTTACTTATTTAAAAAAAATGATGCATATTTTAATAAGTAAATTGCAAATAAAACGAGACAGTAATCTATTGTGAAATACATTAACACTAGGGTGACCTATTACATATTTACTATTGACAAAATGAGCACAAACTGTGGCAGTTTCTTGCAATTCATTTCATAAATAGCCAATATTGACTAAATATATTTCAACACTACTAAAATACTTTCAAATAAATGGGAGATTTCAGACTTGATAAACGAATACTTACAGAGGTCAATATTTTCCTAAACCATTCTGATTATATGTTTTAAAAAGGTACGATTTGATTAAAAATACTATCACAACTTTTCTGAAATCACAGGATATTTTACTTTCATGGTCTTTTCATGTTAAAAAAATATTTTAAAATTCTTTTTACACAGAAACCACACACGACTTCACAGCTGTTTGTCAGAAATCACACATCACAATCACATCACAAATGTCAACACAAGCTGCGAACAAACGTCAATAGTGGCATTTTCCTTTCTCTAGTACCGTTAGATAATCAATGCACAGAATATACTAACGAAAAAGAAGCCCAAGTTCCTTGTAATAAATCGGTTCCATTTTCGTAACGCCATCTCTCGACATAGCTGACATTATAGGTTAGCCAAAGGGGTGCGGGGTCGGGGGGAATTGTAAAATACACTTTTTAATTTTAATTATTTTTTTTCGCTATTTGCAATTTTATTTTTAAAACATATTATGTGAAACAATCACATAATATGTCTTAAAAATAAAATTACAAACGGAAACAAAAGGAATTAAATAATCTGAAAATCTACAAAGTTTATTGATAAAAAAGTTAGGCTATGCAAATTGATAAGTATATTAAGTATAACCTCTTTGGTATAACATTGTTAAACAAACATTAACAAATCATAACATATCAGATCATAGAACTAAAAAAAGTAAATACTATTACATAAAACCAGGTGATACAATACTTCAAAATTAATTTTAACATAATATCAAAACCGAAAAATCAAACTGTAAACACAACCACACTTATCACAACAGAAATTAACACACACTTCCGCGGCAAATGTCCAAGAAAGACTGATCATTCTGATTGGTCCTGGTTATGGAGGGCTTAAAAAACCAAACCAAACCTTTTAGACTCCATAGTCCTGGTCCGGTCGTAGCTCACGTCGTATTGTCGGTAAGCAAAATCCCTGTCCAAAAATTTTGACGATCAGCGCCATCATCCGTCATAACTGGGAAACTTTTGCTGGAACCATTTTTAATATTTCACTTACATGGCCCTGAATCAATGGATAAGTATACGTAGTAGGCAACCAAATATTCACTTCCAGGATAAGAGATTATTTTGATTGTTTATTTGATTTAAAGGCTGTGCTTTAAGGAGCCCTATTTTCTGTATCAAAGCATGCTTTACTGAGTTTTAAAGGTATTGTTTTATTATTTACTTTTATATGTTCTTTCGTAACTTATATTACAACTATTAGCAGGAGCAAGGATTTTGCTGAAAATTCGAAGGTGTTATTTGGATAAGCACAGTTTTAAGCTTGATTTCCTTATAAGCAAGTTTTGTTATATAAGTTATTGAGGAATCTTATTTAATTATGCATACAGATTTATCTCCACATTTACATACAGATGAATGCAATGAGCTAATTGCCTTACTAAGAAAATGTCATTCCGATGTAAGTACATATAATATATAAATTAAAATCTCCAAAGTTTTGTTAAACTATTTATTGTTCTTAAGTAGCCCCGTTTTATTTACAGCATTTATTTCTAAAATTCTTTGGACATTGCAATCCTGAAGATAGCAAAATGAGGAAATGCTTGAAAAAAGAAAGGCTAGCCAATAGACAAAGGAATTACGAACAGTCTTTAAAAGAAAAAGCAAGACTGAAGAAACACTTTGAAGAACAAGCAAAACAACGCACAAATGTATAAACATCTTCATTTTCTAGACATATTTATTTGATTGTAATAAAGGAGAAATAATATAATCCATATTTCACACACCGACTTTTAATGTATGACATATACTCAGTTTTAATATATAATTCATGATACTAACAATATTTATCTAACAAGTAATTAAAAATAATATAAAAGAGAAACTTGATTTAGTTCAAATTTAAAAACAATACATTCTAAACTGATAAATCCCTTTTGACTAATGAAATTTGCATCCTTTTATCACAGTACAACAGAAAAGGAATATGTATAAGCAAGAAATATGTACTCCAGGATATTACAAATTATGAACAGAAATATAAATATCTAGTACAAACTGTCCTGTTCCAATATTATGACAGGTCATTCCAAAACCCCTAATAATATAAGAATGTTCTATGAAGTAAAATCAACATGTCATAAGGGCATTTGAGTAATAAATGAATAATGTACAAGATGTTAAGCCTAAGCTAACTTTTTGACAAATAACATGGATGTGTATCATTTTGTAAAGGCGGCAAAAACAGCCCAAAGAACTTCACACGTGTTTGGTTTATTTGATTCCTCTTCAAAATTTAAATCCAGAAGCTTCCTAACTCTCTTTAAGGCTACATCATAGTCATCATCATTCAGAGGAGCAAATGCATTTTCCAGAACGTCACTGGCATGTGCAAGAAATATTAGAGCTAACATCCTCTTGTCCATTTGATGTGGATTGTTCACCCATTTAGTTAAAACTGCCTCTTGAATCTTTTTAATTAGCCTGGTTTTCGTTATATTATCAGATAAGGGGTGTGTAGTCATATCAAAGAATAAAAAGTTTTGTTTTTCTGTAGTCAAAACACCTTTTTCCACCAAGTTCTTGGCCAGCCTTTCCCTTACATTTTTTAGTTGATACCTCAATTTCAGAGGGTTCCAAGTTTCACCACTCAAATAGTCGATCCAAGACTGAACACTCTCAGGTGGATCTGTGTATTTCAGATGCTTCAATGCTTCATCTAAAAGGACATCACCTACGGGATTGTCGCTTTTCACAATAAGTTTTCGGGCCAACAGACTCCTCCTCCTCACACCATTTCTTTCAAGTTCAACTCTGCCTCTCAGACCCAGCTCGATCAAGATACATCCTCGTAGTCCACTAGAAATACAATCATTCCAAAATGAGGTGTAACCTTCTTTATCTTTCAGGCCAAGCAGCAACACTTCTTCCATCAATGTGAGTCTGGTTTCTTTGGAGTCTTCATCTTCTGTGCTTTCTTCCTTGTTTAGTTTTCGTTCATCGCTATCTTCTTTTGGTATTCCGTCAGTTGTTTCTCGGGTTATATTACGCCTTTTCACAAAACCTTCACTACGATTCATTTTTTTCAACGTACATATCTAAATTATCAAATGTTGACGTTTACGCTTTGATTTGAGAGGTGTAGAATGTCTTGAAATGTCAGAATGGGACGTCATGAATTAGCACCATCTAGGTGAAAGTTAGTACACTTTTATTTTTTTGGCCATCTGTTGGCAGAGTGCACAACAATAAAATTAAAAATTACAGAATTATTTATATTTAATATTGAAAAATACACCGTATGATCGAAAAAAACGGCGTCAGCGATAGCTATGAAATGAAGATCGCTGTCATGTTATATGTAAACTTATATGGGGAATGTCATCGATGTTCATTTCCAAGCCAACTGGACGCCATTTTTTTTCGATTATACGGTTTTAATTATTTTACTTAATCAAATAAATTTATTAAAAATTAAATAAATGCCAAAACCTTTAGAATATGTTAATGTGATTTCTGGTAGTTAAATTTTTACGTGTATTTATATTAAATTATGTTATACAACACAATAAAGCGTAGAACTTAAATTTAAATACAACTTTGTACATATCTCTATGTTATTTAGAAATATCTAGTGTATTACGAAGAATCATCGCGTCATAATATCGCTAGGGTCGCCATATATTGAATATCGTGACCTTATTGTAATCCAAGAATTATATTAAGTCTAACAGCACAGAAAAATCTGTGCTAAAAGGCCCTAACTTTATTATAGGCTTTGTGCATTTCAGTTGATTTCAACAAATGCCGACCGCAGCGCTTCAACGGCAAAAATCAGAAATTATCTTTACCCATATCACGCCGCCGCACAGTGTAACGAAAACTAAAATAGTGGGACATTGGCATTTTTCTTCAGTTATCACTATTCTTGCTGACATTTTATGACAGAAATTAAATAATACGACTAGGAATTTTTGCTACAGGGTGAAAAGAGTAAAAAAAGGCGTAATGGAAGGTCAAAAAAAACACGAAGTTTTATAAAAGGACTTTACCGGTATATTTTTTTATTTACGAAGAGTTTATAGCTCTTATGGACCAAAAACGTTATCAAATTACTGTCGAACAATCATTTATCTCCCGCTTCAAATAATCAGGGATAAATTAGATAAGACTGCAAAACTCAAAGAGAACGACACAAGTGGCAAATATCATTTAACAGTATTAAATAATATGATAATATGCAAAAAAAACGTATTCAACTTCAACAAAGGAAACCATAATACACACCTCACAAAATTTCGCAACACTTATATTTTTCGTAGTATTTATTCTTGAAACGCTAAAGCATTTATGTGAAAAAGCAAATCTAAGGTCTGCCTGAGTTACGATACACTTTACATACCTTAACAAGTTGCTATTAATTGCAAATAACTTTTGAGATTATTGTTAACCAAGAGAATTTAAGAATACTTTGCAGTTTTCCAAATTAATAAGTGATGCGATAATTTATGTGGGGTGTATATTATTCCAAAATAACATAATATGCACTTACATAAAACATGCTTAAAAATCATTCTCAATTTCTTCTCCATCCATATACAAGAGCTCTTTTGGCTTCCCGAAATAAGTCTACTTTTTTATTTTTAGCGTGCTTTGGTCGCAGATGTGAAAGTAGAGGATCTGAATATATCAATAAGTTGTGCAATATATCTTCAATAGTTTGGTACCAACAATGATGCAGCCATTGAGGGTGGAGTGTTAAATACATCGAAGAAAATTTTGCCGGTTTGGAAAAATATTCTCTTGAGCAATTTTTGTCCAATGTTGAGATTTTCTGAATTGTTGTAAACTGTCCCCCACCCCAATGTGAGGATGGTTCCTCGCTCCTAAAAGCTTTGTTCGGGTTCTTGTTATTATCGATTCTGAACCGTCTTAGAACTGTGATGCGTATGCGCAGAAGGAAATATGAAGACATTATTTCATTTGCGCATGCGCTGCAGAGTTCTAGGACGGTTCAGAATCGGTAATAACAAGAACCCGAACAAAGCTAAAATAGCATTCAGTATGTTCATAGCAAGCGTATAGCTTTTTCAATAAAGAAATTATAGCACAAAAAAATACGGATAAAAACTACTGTCGAATCAATGAAAAACGTAATTATTGGCGAAGAAATTTATTTTTTTCTTCCAAGTTCGGATCTAGGTGGATGAAATTTATATGTAACAGTATACTAGAAGGTTCACTCTATGATATTTTGTATATATAACCTTGCGCGAATGTAAGCGTTTTTTTGAAAGTCATAATAAACATGTAGAAACTAGGCTTGAAAAAAATTGGGACATTTTTTTCAGGTTTGTTGTTGGTAAAAGACCTCTCTTTACGGAAAAAATTGTTGGAATTGAACAACACAAGGAAACTTCTGAAAATAATAAATTTCATTGTATGAAATTTTTGTACTGATTAGGTAAATTAAGGAAACCATAACTTTAACCCGCCAAAACTCCCCGACTAAGAGGTCAACTCAAGAAATATCTCACATGGCGGGGCTCTGGGATGTCCTTTATTCATCTATATAAAAAACTTGATGAATTATTTTTGTTGTTTTTTGGGCTAATGTCCGGCATTTCCCGATTTCGTTACACTGTGCGCCGTCATGTTGATCGCATTAAAACAATATCGAAATCGTGGTTTTGTCTTAAGTATTTTAGTTTTTTTGCTAGTGCAGGTATTGAGACTATAAAACACTCAGGTAGGAGGTTTGCGTGATGTAACGCTGTTTCGGGTAATAAAAAAGTAAAAAAGAATTCGAACTAGGCGTCGTGTTGTGTTGTGATAATTTCAAATGTTTATAAAATTGCTGAAAAAATGTTAAAGCTTAAAGGAGAGCTTAATTAGGGCGTTGTTGGGTGCAGTAACATTCAATAACTCAATTTTCCCGGGTATTCAACTCTACCGAAACAACATTTTATAGCTTGATAGTTTCTCACACCGATTTGATCAAAAGCAAAAATGGATTCAAGCAATTCGACGAAATAAGTGAGTAAACAAAGTGCTCGTTACATAATCAGAAAATTAAGAAGGCGTATACTATGAGAGGATAAAATATAATTTTCAATATTAATTTAATTATAATTATGTACCTTTAAAAAATTTCGTTATAGCCGAAATAGCCCCAATTATGCTCCACTAGCAAAACCGGTGATTAAAACTATATGCTCGTTACTGTAGTTAAACTCATTTAATTTTTTTTTAATTGGAGTAATAAATCATAATACGTTATTATATTATTATTAATAAGTTGGTCCTTCTGAAGATATAAAAATATTTACTTTTTTATTTTTATTTTTAGAATTTTCACAAATTATACTTTCTAACACTTTTAGAATAATTAAATAATAAATTTTTCGCATTCTCGTTATTTAAACCCGTGTATTTGTATATACTAGTTTTCTACGATATTCTCGGATGGTGGCAGCACCGGCGGAGAATGCACCAAGCCTATAGGTAATAAATAATAGTTTATAAAATATTATAAAAAAATTATGTTAATATGTGTAAATATTAAATATTTCGTAGAATATACGTAATTGTGTATAACGTTTTATCTGGCAGTGGCGTATTTATGTTGAAATATATTAACACTATTCATCAAGAGATGTTGGGATCTAGATGGCTGTTTCTGTTCTATCTAGCGTCCATTACTTATAGTATATTAGGCATCTCAAGAAACCGCAAAGTTGCCTAGCTGTATATCCAAGCCGTTATGAGCCCTAGGGTCTACATTTTCCCTACACACACTCTCATTACAGAAGCGTCCGGCAAAACAATTTTGGAAATTTAACATGGAAATAGCTTATCTTGATTGCCATGTAAATTGAATGTTAGACAGGCGAATTTCTGTTACTTTTATAAAAGATACAGCGCACAAACGTTCATCATTAAATTTAATTTTAATTTATATATTTTTTTTTTGAAAAAATTGACTGCGTAAGAGTAATAATCAGATATCATTTAAAAGATTCAAAGAAATTGAAACAACTCGAAATAATATAGATCGATGTTGAAGGATATGAATAACGTTACAGATATAATAAAAAAATTGCGAAAAGAAAATTGTTTTAGCAGCACGGAAGAATATTTCTCATAAAAATTAGCATTTAAATTGAAAAGGGCGTCGACAGTCGATGAACACTCTGTATTTTACGTATATAAACGTTACAGAAAACGAATTTTATTCAAAGCTGTTCTGTTCGCAATTCAATCAGTATAGAAAATCATAATAGTTTCAAGTTTTATGGTTCGGCAGCTATCGGTCCTTGCCAAGTCCCTAGATGATCGTAAACTATTCGGTATCTTTGTATTGTTAGATACTGTTTCTGATAGTGAACTGTAAAATGAGACGCAAATTTATGAAATACTTTCTACAAATACTAATTAATCATTATAATAAATTCCCTACTTATAATAATAATAATAATAAATAACGCTTTATTGTACAAAAAGTCACAATAGCTTCATCGACAAAGCATTTAAAAAACAAACAAAAGCACAAAAAATATTGCGGATTAAGCAAACGGATTCAAATATGAATAAAGAGTCAGTATTTTGAAATTCTGGCAATGAGTTCTACTGTTCAGTCCCAATAAAACTGCTCTTTTTTGAAGTTTGAAAATAAGATCAAATTTTGTCGCGCAGCAAGTACCCCAGAATGGAAGGGCATAACGAAGATGCGACTCAAAAAAAGGCATAATCGACTATTCTAGAGGTTGATAGGTTAAATTCCTTAGAAACTGATTTTAGCGCAAAACAGGTAGCGCTTAGTTTCTTTGATAAAGCTTCGATGTGCTAGTCCCATTTTAACAAGTTGTCTAAAACAAGTCCTAAGAATTTCACAGAATCCACGACGTCAATAGTGGTGTTATTAAGTAGAAAAGGTTGTATAGTACTTTTATATGACAAAACTTTAGTCTTTGATAGGTTGAGGCATAGGAAATTAGAATCGCATCAAGATATAGTATCACTGGATCTGGATATAGTATTATATAGTGCCGTCTCATCTAGGCCGCTCCAAGTGAAACTAGTATCGTCCGCAAAGAGGCAGATTTTACCGCTAATGTCTAGATTTGCAATGTCGTTGATAAATACTAGAAACAAAATAGGGCCCAGTACTGAACCCTGAGGGACACCACATTCTATAGGCTTACAAGAAGACAGACGTATCAATCCTCACAAGCTCTGTTGCCAAGATATGACTTAAGCCATTCGAGTGGCACTCCCCTGAATCCATAGTATTCCAATTTGTTAATTAAGATATTATGATTTACACAGTCGAAAGCCTTAGAGAAATCACAGAAAATTGTAGCTGTAGAGTGATGGTTGTTCAGGCTAGAGTATACATTATTAAAAAGGTCGAACATAGCATCATTTGTGCAACTGTTAGTTATAGAAGCCCTTTTTTAACCAATCTTTTATCTTAGACTCTTTGAATAAGAAGACTAAGGAAGGAGTATATCAAAAATCTTAGGTACACCGCGATGGGCCTCAAATATGGCCGACTTAAATTCCGGTTTATCAGTGTCGTTCTAATTTTATTTAAAAAATGTAAAACTATGATGTAGGGTAGACGTGGAGTAGACTCAATAATTTGTTGTTTTATTTTACGTTGTGAATAAATGTTGGTAGTTATTAAAATTGTTATAAAAATATATAATTCTAATAAAAATAGATAAGTTATAATAAGTATTTATTAACACAAACATCCGATACGCTACTGAAGCAGGTAAGTCAAATTAACGTATCTAAATTCTTTGACATCTAATCTTTGACAAGTAATAAATAAAAGCTAAAATGCAAGAAAAATATATAATTTAGTTAATTTAAGTGAATTTCGTAAATGATCGGTTTACTACACGTATGTATATTATATAGTCACTTACTAGCGAAAAGTTGTTCCATTATTTCACTCAATTTTTGCCGAGATCTACCGCACGCTACACAACCAACTATTTTAGAGTCTTTTTCGATAAATCGCGATAGTGTCACTGTTAATTTAAGTTCTGCCACAATTTCCATCTAGATTTACTACCTTTATACAACTATCAGTAGTAGAATAAATAATAAATAACATAAAATAAGCTCCGTAAAGACTGACAAATCCACAAAATTTCAAATCAAATTCAAATGAGAGCTTTTCCGCCCACCATGCATGAATACATGGATAGCATTATGCTCCTTCCTTAGTCTTCTTATTCAAAGCTTAGACTAGACTTAGATCTTAACTTCAGTTAAAAAATACATAGTTATAAAAAAAAATTAAATGATTAAAGTGTTAATGTAGAGTGACTAGTAAAATGACTGTGAAAAGAACGCAAGAATACTCAGGAGTGAATAGAGCCAATTTAAATTTCAAGCAGCACTTTCCTGCGATACGAAATAAAGTAACCTGTCGTTAAAACTAAACAAATGAAGAATTTGAAATATCTTTCAAGTCTGACAACAGAAAATCAATAGAAAAGCATCAATAACTGAACAGAAACTTAGCAGTTTCAATGAAATAAGCGACCACAATAAGTCAGGGGTATATTAAACACAGCCCAGACGTTTTAGTTCATTTCGGCTTGTTTAACTGGTTCAGCTTAAGGTTTCTTCATCTTTTTCTTTTCGATAAGTTGGTCTTTTTTTATTTATCATTACTTATGCCAAAATTAAAAAATCTGTCTTCTGTAGATGTATCTGTTTTAAAGAAACTAAAATGTTCTCGAATAGTTTCATTTAAATATATTTTAAATAGTTTTTTTCTTTGTTCTTTGTATTTTTTTGCTTCCGACGACGGAAATAGATAAACTTTCCGAAACGTTAAGCATTTTTTGTTTATTGGTAGACCACTGCTGACAATTAGTCTCTAGATTATTAAGAATTAGTCTCTTACAATTAGTCTAGATTTTCTTACAGTGGCATAGGACTTTTTTGGAGAGTTTAAATATAGATACTAAACAGGGCATATTGCAGGCCGTATTAATAAATAGTTATTAGTGTAAAGGCTCATTATCCAGAGACTTGGGAAGTTTTAGACTACCCTGCGATCCCCCCTAGTGCGTTTTTAAAGTGCAGAGCGTGAATTCGCGACACCCTGTATATGCATACGTGGCTAAATTTTGTTTCGTTATCTTTCTTTGGACTTTCCCTTACTTTCTTTGAGGAACTTTTGTAAGTTTTGCCCTTGTATTTGTTACGCATATTCGGGTTGAAAAACATTTTTCAAACTTTTTATTTATTGCAAAACTGTTCATAATCGATTTGTACATGATTCACACATACACTTGTCCTTATTTTTTATTATTTGCTTAGCTAACGATTTTTAAATATTTTATTTAAGCATATTTTCTGTTAAATAAATAAATTTTTCTAGTTTAAGATGACATGGTCTAAAACTATTTATTTGCCTCAAAATTTTAATAACCGTGGTGTACATGTTCTTAATTCCCACTATTAGTGCAACAACAGATGTTGTTTAGAGCCGCAAAATTATTGTATAATATTATTTATGTAGATTTAATTAACTGATTAATTTAAAAGTTGTAACAATATTATGTCTCTCTATAGGTCTTATTTTGTCTTCAGCAGTGTTGGACGTTTTGGAATTTTTGCAGTTACTGGTAAGTACTACAATATAAACAGTGACATATTAACTAAAAAAAATACATAATAGAGAAATAAGAGATCATTGAAGAAAAAAATATGATTAAGTTGCAATAAAGCGCATCACGCAAAATATTAAATTTTTAAAAAGCATGTAGAGTATTCTTCTATGTTATTAATAAAAAGTTATTAGTATAAAGACTAATTATCTAGAGACTTGGGAAGTTTTAGACTACCCTGCGATCCCCCCTCGTGCGTTTTTAAAGTGCAGAGCGTGAATTCGCGACACCCTGTATACGCATACGTGGCTGTGCTGTTGTTGAAAACTGAGGGTTCGCGCGTGCCGCCTGAGCCAGTGTAATGAAACCGTAATCGAGACTTATAACTTTGTTTTCCGTGTGGCCGATTCTTGTGATCTGGACTGAGAATACAATGGCGTTGTATGCTTTGATGAAATTGCATTCCTGTGCAGATTTCCGTAAGCGAATAAGGGGCGCAACTCCCTCCGTGCCCCCTCGGGCCTCCGCCTCGGCCCTCGTCGTCTGCCCCGTTTTGCAAAAGCAACAGTTACTTCGCTCTTCGTCGCATTTGTTTCAGCGTGGAGAGGCGGAGCGTAGAGTGGAGCCTGCCGCTCCCACAGCTCCTACTTTTGCCCTATTGCCATATTAACTTTTTCCTCTTTTCCTAGCCCATCCACACCGCTCCCCTATGCTACATTAAATTCTAACTCGACCTGCCTGCTCAAACATCTCACCCGTCTTATTTAGGGACGTGCTCGCCTCCTCTACTCATCGTCCCTCTAATAACTAGTTCAAATTGATATTGCTAGATAAACACACCTACAAAACACTACCGTATCTACAAAGATTATGTCATTACGCCAACGCTACACTACTTTCCCAATTTCTCGACATATCAGTGTTTGAATCGATATGTATCACGATATTGTTTTCGGAATATACACTATCACTGTCTCAACTATAAGAATTCATTTTGAAAGCACAAAAAGCAAAAATAAGGCCTAGCCTCTTCATGTATGCTATTCCCTGTACTACTACAACGGCGAGTGCTAACAACTCTCGCCATCTAGCGGCGACTGTAACAACTACAGATCGAGCTACTAACGATAACATATCATTGAACAAAATTTACTGCGTTCGGTGTAAAGCTGAGTTATATTTTACATGACAGTTAAATAATTGATTCGTTGTAAGGTAAAATGTTCCAAACTATATGTCTAATCGTTGTAATGCAAGCAACGCTTTGATGGAAAAAAACATCTCTACTTGCAACAATTATATTAAAATTTCCCTGCAAAGTATGTAGTATTAGCTTTAACTATTAGTTACATTACATTTAATTAGAGGGATCAGTTTACCATAAATGAATGTTTTTATTTGCTGTACATGTCAGTTTTAACAATATGTCTATATTTAAATTAAAATGATTGTAATATTTCTGTTAACTGTACTATGTTTGTATGAATGGGTTTGCTCTCAATAAGAAGACTATTTATTGTTGAAAATACCTTATAGTTTTTTCTGTGTAGGGGTTTCAAGTTCAAGTTAGAGACTAGGCAATCACGTCTCAAGAGTTTTCCCACTATAAACCAGTCGTCCATTCAAATATTATTTTCAAGCTTTTATTTGTAAATAAATGTTCTTACAGGGCACTTTTTATATGCTCTAATGAGGATAAGTTTCTCTAATTTTTAATAGAAACTAGACACTCATTTTTATTCTCTCCAAGTGTATTTTATATAAAGATTTCTTTCTGCAGGATAATTGGATTTGCCTTTTTTAATTGGTAAAAGAAGTTGTAACTGTTTAAATACTGCTGTAATACATGTATATTAAAGTTTGAAGTATTATATTTTTAGTTTACGTTTACGGCAAGTTGAAATTTAATATTCGAAAATAGAGAAAGTAGTTGAATAAACGGAAAGAAAGTGCCGTTTAGATGAGAATGTTGCGCGGCAACGTCGCGCTGTTAAAGCTTCGGCACGCGCTAGGCAATATTTTGGCACAGTACACGTTCAGAACTCACGCTGAAACTTCCCGTTCAAACTCCACTGGGTGGCAGATCAAATCGCGCGCGCTTTTCTTTACGCGACTCTCTCCATTCGAGTGACATTTACGCTAAACTGCTATAACATTTAACGACATTTAAAATTTTGTTTCGTTATCTTTTTTTGGACTTTCCCTTACTTTCTTTGAGGAACTTTTGTAAGTTTTGCCGTTGTATTTGTTACGTATATTCGGGTTGAAAAACATTTTTCAAACTTTTTATTTATTGCAAAATTGTTCATAATCGGGTTGTACATGTCCTTATTTTTCATTATTTCCTTAAATAATGTTTCTTAAATATTTTATTTAAGCATATTTTCTGTTAAATAAATAAATTTTCCTGGTTTAAGATGACATAGTGTAAAACTTTTTATTTGCCCCAAACTTTTCATAACCGTCGTGTATTTTGTTTACATGTTCTTAATTCCCACTATTAGTGCATCAACAGATGTTGTTTAGAGCGCAAAATTATTGTATATATTATTTATGTAAATTTAGTTAACTAATAATACCATTTTTTAAATAATTTAAAAGATGTAACTATATTATGTCTCTCTGTAGGTCTTCTTTTGTCTTCAGCAGTGTTGGACGTTTTGGAAATTTTGCAGTTACTGGTAAGTACTACAATATAAACAGTGATATATTAACTAAAAAGAAAACTACATAATAAAGAAATAAGAGATCATTGAAGAAAAAATAAGATGAACTTGCAATAAAGCGCATCACGCAAAATATTAAATTTTTAAAAAACATGTAGAATATTCTTCTATTACGCGCTTGTACTATGTTTCTTATTTGTGTATTTCCCTGTATGGTGAAATATCCAAAACATGGCCACCATAAGATGATAAATAGAGAAGCATTTGATTTAAAACGAACTATTTACTAAATTTAATAAAAAAATATTCGTTGTGAAACAGAAACTTGCCATACTTTTTTCTCAACATTTTCCAGACATACGCGCTTCGAGATTTCTATGTGTTACCTAATTTCTTTAGAGTTATTTCTGCAATTAACGCCATTTTTTCTCATATGAGATGATTCACAGAATGAATTATGAACAGCAGTGTTCATTATTGTCGCCTCTTTTTTGCACGTGTACCATCTAAGATTATAACCAGTCCAAGTGATATTTTTTCTGTATTTTTTTCTGAGCTTTCTGAACCATATACAGAAGGGTCAGTAAAAAATTTAAAAATGAATTTACTTTCAAGAATAACGTCACTTTAATTTATTTTAAATTAAATATTAGTTAGCTTTAATTTTTGCGATTCCCAAATCAAATTCCATGCTGGAGGCATAAATCTCTCATGCATCAATTTTATAAACGATTCAGGAACAAAGGGCTGCTAATCTCTATAAAAAGGAGTTACAGGAAAATTAGAGATGTTATGTAAAAGCGTTTAATGAAGTAAAACGGTGGATGGATTAATACTTTGACGTAGAAGATTATTCAGTGATATAACAAATAAAACAGAGATGAGTTTTGTTACGCATGTAGAAGGTTAACAGCTTATATAAATTTCATAGAAGGAATATAGTAGTGTATTTAATATAATGTGAAAGAATTTGAATTTATTGTTTTGTTATATTTAAAAATTACTTTCAACCCAGAAAACCAAAACGATTAAAAAAATCAAAAGCTATCAAAATATACTAAATAAATAATAATTTAATCTAATATTATATTCTTATTGAAAGCTTGTAATTTTGTATGCATCACTTGTAAGATAAAAAGATCAAAGGGTTGATAATCTCTGTAAAAAGGAACAATCGTGAAAGTATATAAGATATGGAAGAGGGCTGCAGAAAATGAAGTACTTAATAGATTATAAAGTAGGTAAACAATTTTTTCGTTATTAAATTTCTAATGAAATCAGAAATCACAAAAAAGTTACCATAAACTGTAATTAACTATATTACATTCTGTATATATGGGATGTAATAGAAAAATCAGTGCTAGAATTAATATGGACTGTTTTTGATGGACTAGATGTATACAGGGTGTCATTGAAATGGTGTAGAAAAAATCAGGGAGTGATAGTACTCCTAAAAATAGTAAAAAAAGTTCCTATAAGTATAGGGCGGAAACTGCATTGTATTAAGGGAGTTAGGGGCACTGAAAGGGTGAATTTAAAAAACGGTTGTTTTGAAATTGTAGGCTTAAAAAACGAGATAAAATTTCGAAAAAAAAATGCTTTGCCATAAATTTTGACCCTAAATCAAATGGTGATACTGAAAAATGATTTGGAAAAGCAGAAAGGGTAGTTTTTGCAAGGGTATGGGGTTATTTTGTGAATAACTTTTTTGAGGTTATCTTTTTTGCAACATGGGTTCATTTTTTGAAAACTACATACTGTTTCCTACAAAAAAGGTATTCTTGTTGTACATCGCCCAGAGCGATGGTTTTCGAGAAAATTGAAGGCAAAGAGTTTGCTCTGATGGGTTGGTATCAACATAAACTTATGAAAGTTATGGCGGTTCAAAAGTAACCAAGTAGTTATCAAATAATTAATCAAACAATCAAAATTTTATGATTTTTAAAATGTCTTATTGCTTTAAAAAACGAAATAATCCACTAGATTTCTACTTCTGGGGCCACTTTGAAAGCTTTGGTTTACTCGGTGCCGATTAATACTGAAGAGCAACTACGGCAACGCATTATTGACTGTTCCAATCAAATTCGGACAAACACCAAGGATATTCCACAGGGTATGCAGATCTTGGAGAAGAAGAGCAGATGTCAGCACTGGGTGGTCACTTTGAACATTTACTATGAATGAATTAAGGAATGCATTATTTTAATAAGGAATTTTGGTAATTGGTTTATTTCGTTTTTAAAGCAATAAGATGTTTTAAAAATCATGAAATTTTGATTTTTCAATTAATTATTTGATAACTACTCGGTTACTTTTGAACCGCCATAACTTTCATAAGTTTATGTTGAGTTAGCAACCCATCAGAGCAAACTCTTTGCCTTCAATTTTCTCGAAAACCATCGCTCTGGGCGATGTGCAACAAGAGTATCTTTTTTGTAGGCAAAAGTATGTAGTTTTCAAAAAATGAACCCAAGTTGCAAAAAAAATAACCTCAAAAAAGTTATTCACAAAATAACCCCCTACCCTTTGCAAAAACTACCCTGCTTTTCCAAATAATTTTTCAGTATCAACATTTGATTTAGGGTCAAAATTTATGGCAGAGCATTTTTTTTCGAAATTTTATCTCGTTTTTAAGCCTACAATTTCAAAACAACCGTTCAACTCACCCTTTCAGTGCCCCTAACTCCCTTAATATGCATTTTCCGCCCTAAACTTATAGGAACTTTTTTTACTATTTTTAGGAGTACTATCACCCCCCGATTTTTTACACCATTTCAATGACACCCTGTATAGAAGAATATTATGTAGATACAAATTTTAAGCTGGGGGCTCTGACGACTCGTGTACTTGACAAACATTTGTTATTAGCATATTAGCATACATTTTTATTAATTTTTTCTAAAAAAGGCCGAAAAGTTTTTTTTTCTATATTTATTTATAAATATCTCTGAAACTATCAAAACATATTTAATAATATTTTAGGATTAAGTAAAGTATTCCATTTAAGAAAATCATCCCGATCAACTCACATATTTTTGTCCTAATACAAACTTCAGGTTTGCACTTACACAAAATGTTTATGTTGTTTATTCTAGGAGCTACAGATGCCCGACGCATTATTGCCGGACCCTGTATACCAATAACAATTGTTTGCCAAGTACACGGGCCGTCTGAGTCCGGCTTTACAGAACATGCCACAAATCACATTCCTCTATATTAAATAAATTCACAATGATCCTTGTAAACTACAAATATTACTGAGAGAGCATTAATAAATGTTTTTTTTTTATGAATATTAGGTCCATAGTTTACTGAGAGAGTCTACTGTCGTCAGATACTGTACATTATTGTTGTTGACAGCTTCCGCACGGTCATTTATAAACGCAAGGTCAATTAGATGTATATGGTTTCTCTGTCGTTGATGGCTCATGCAAATTGACAGTTTTGAGTTTTGTTTAGAGGGGCGGAATAAATAATTTCATAAGGAAAAAATTAACCGATCAATATCCAATGTCTCTTAAGCCTCGGCTCTTAGTAAAAATACAAAAAGCATAGAATGTAAAAAAATGCCAAAGTCTTGCAACGCAATTCCTCCACTATAAAAAGTTGTGATGAGATCTCATGTAAAACCAAGTCAGTTTATTTTATTTAGTCTTTCTTTAAGCACCTATTCAACAATTTTGTTATAAAATATTATTTGTCTAATAATTAAAATGACTTGGCAATGGTACGGCACCATAATTACAAAAAAATAACCTTCTATTTCGATTACCAAGTAAATCTAAACAGTGCACTTATGAATAAAGTTTTTTAATTAGTATACAGGGTGTTTCAAAACAAATGCGAAAAACTTCAGGGGGTGATTCCTTGTTCAAAATAAAGGGTAGTCTGCTTTATAAACGTTGTTAGGGAGATATCGCGGTACAGAGATGGCGGAAAAATAATGTTTTTATTTTTTATCTTGAAAACGAAAAACGATAGACTAATGAAATTTTATGGAAGCATTACTGTTACGAAAACATAATTTCTGGTAATGTTCTCACTTTTTTAAAATGAGTGGAAGGTGTTGAAATAAACTACCCCTATCATTCTTGTTAACGAAATTTAAAAAAAAGCTTATCAAACACATACAAAAATTAATTTGGATAGTTTAGTTTGTTTAGAAACTTTTTTATCTCTTGTGTTTTTTTGATAAAACTCACTGATTTGAAATTAAAAAATAAAATGTAAAGCATTACATATCAGGACAAAAACATTTTTAGATAAAGAATCTAGTGGGCTGCTCTAATTTTTTTAGGAAAAAATCTAGTCGGCCGCTGTCACTTTTTAGGATGTTTCTAATATTATTTTATTGACATTACTCTACTGCAATACGTTATCATCTAGATTCTTATTATTATCGTTATTATCACTAGATTCTTTATCTAAAAATGTTTTTGATCCTGAAATGTAATGCTTTACATGTTATTTTTTAATTTCAAATCGGCGAGTTTTATCAAAGAAACACAAGAGATAAAAAAGTTTCTAAATAAACCAAGCTATCCAAATCAATTTTTTTGCATGTGTTTGATAAGATTTTTCTTTAAATTTCGTAAACAAGAATGATAAGGGTAGTTTATTTCAACCCCTTCCACTCATTTTAAAAAAGTGAAAAATTACCAGAAAGTGTGTTTTCGTAACAGTAATGCTCCCATAAAATTTCATTAGACTATCTCTTTTCGTTTTCAAGATAAAAAATAAAAACATTATTTTTCCGCCATCTTTGTACTGCGATATCTCCCTAATGGTTGACTTTTGACCCAACGTTTATGAAGCAAACTACCCTTTATTTTGAACAGGGAATCGCACCCTGAAGTTTTTCGCATTTGTTTTGAAACACCCTGTATAATAATATCATATCGTGCAATTGCCAAGTCGTTATAATTATATTATTATAGAAATAAAGATGACTAATATTGATACTAATAATTTATAACAAAATTGTTGAATAGGTTGAACATATATTTAAAATATTT